GTGCTCACACTGGGCATTGGTTCTGGCTGCCAGCACCAATCCTGTGCTGCAATGCAGAGCCCTGTGGCTGCCACTGCCTCCTCCCCTGTGCCTGCAGGCCAAGGAATGTGGCCCTTCGCCCACAGCTTGGCTACTGCTCATGGCTTCCTGTGCCGTGCAGAAACAAAGGGAGGTAGAGCTCCCATTGCTTTGTGTGGGGAAGCACTAGCACTGCTGCCTGGACCAGCAGAAGGAGGCATTTGCTCCAGACAAGAACTGGTCCCAGGGCTGAGGGCGCTGAGGGCTGCTCCCAACCCACACACAGCCCTGTGCCCTGATGAGATGATCCAGCTAAGAGGCTGACGTGGCATGCATGGGATGCAGCCTGCGCTGGCCTCCCTCACTGCTTCTGCCCTGTCATCTGCTGGCCACTGTCTCCCCAGGGTGAAACACTTGTAAAAAGCATCTGCTGATCAGAATGGGACACCTGGACAGGTTCCTCCCTTGCTCAAGCATGGTCATGCTGCTGGGCATGCCGGGACCACTTGCTGTGCTTTCTGCGTGACAGAGGATGCCAGGAGCAGTAGAGGTTCCCAAGGAAAGCCAGCTTACTCTCAGCAGGCAGGAGACTGCTATGGATTGAAGCATGCTGTCTGCCACAGCTGTCTACACCTTCCCTGAGGTGTTCAGCATCCAAACCCTGGGACTCCAGGCTCCTGCCTGCAGGTGCTGTGCCTACTGCAGTGCTGACTGAGCTGGAGTGCACCCACCCCGAACAGCCCCAAACCACAGCCAGCAAATTGGGGCAACCTCTCTTCAGCCTTTCTAGAGCACCTGAACTCGGATGGATGTTGCCAGGACCAGCTGGGTAATGCTGGGGTGAAGGTCCTGAGCACCTGGCACTGTGCTCACTGTGGTTCCACGGAGCTTCTGGGGGAGGCTGTGTTCAGGCTGGCACTGGAGGGTTCTGGCAGTGGCACCACACTCCCACCATGTGCTCAGGGTGTCCAGGAGTCCTCTGTCATAGTGTCAAGGTGGTGCTGCACCTGGGCTGCTTTGACCCCTTGGTTTTGATCCTCAAGGCTGGTTTTAAAATTGTGGCCACTTCAGCACCATCTATTTTGTTCCCACAAAAATTTTGTTTTGTGCCACAGCTCTGAGTGATATCTTAAAAGTCTTTTCCAACCTTAATGATTCCACGATTCCACGGTGCTGTGGTATTGTGTGCTCCTGCCCAGCTGCAGAGGCTGGAAGCGTGGATGTCTGCCAGGAGCGCAACTCAGCACTGGCGCCCACGCTGTCCTGTGCTCACCTCAGCCTGCCGTCCTGCCCACGGCCTCGTGGTGCAGCTGCCCTCTCTGCCCTTGAGCAAGCAGGTGCCTGACCCCAGAGCTGACCTGCTCAGCAGCCAGCAGGGATTATTACTCCATTGTCTACTGACTGGGCAGTTTCCCCAGAACTGACAACAACATGCACCTCCCCACAGCTCTTCACCTCTGATGTGGCAGCCTCCAGTGCCCTTTCTGGCATCACTGGCCTGAGGTGCCCAGGCAGTCCCAGCCACACATGGCCTCTGGAGAGGTGTGGGGGTGTGTGGGGAGAGCAGCAGACCCTGTGTCATGGCATGGAACTGGGAGCTGGCAGGCAGCCAAGCACGAGGCTTGCTTATGCAGGGAGGAAGGGGCTTGGGCTTTGTCTGGAGAGGCTTTGGCAGGGAGCCCCACGTGGTGGCCCAAACGTGGTGCCCCAAACGTGGTGCCATGCCTGTCACAGGACCCCCCTGGCAGAAGGCACAGGGTGTCCATGTCTCCCTGAGGTTGGGAGTGCCTATGCCCTTCCAGCACGGCCATCCATACTACAGTGCCTCTGAAAGGAGGCTGTAGAGTGTTGCTCAGACCCCTCAGGGCTGCTACCAATGTCTCTCGGTTTTTAACTTAGAGACTAGAGGGGCAAAATCCTCGGGCCAGTCAGCTGCAGAGTGAGGGATTGCAGCTCACCCCTAGGGCTCCACCCAGTTCTTTTCAAGTGTCAGCACCGTCACAAAACCATTCCTAACTGAACAGAACCCCCCAGGAGGCTCATTTTAGAGCTTCTCAGCCACAGCCTCACCTTGACTTCATCCCCTCCTGACCTGATGTTTGTGTCTCTGCAGTTGTTCAGAAAGACATCCCCCTCTTGGGAGGTAAATAATCAATAACATCCGGCCTTTGTAATTCTATTAACTCAATCAATTTCTGTCCCAAACTTTCCCCGGTGCCAGCTCCTTGTGAGCCCTCCACATGCCCAGGGTTCCCAGTCTGCAATGCAGCACCACAACACACCGCTCTGACTGTCGGCATTTGGTGCAGGGATGGCAGCAGCTGCTGGTGTTCAGAGCAGCAACATGCTGCCTCCTTCCCACCCTGCTCCTTCCCTGTGCAGCCTCTGCTGGCATTGGGATGGGCAAGAAAACTCAGTCCTCGTTTTCCTGGCCCGCCTCGAGGATGTGCTAAACCAAGCAGCTGTTGCCAGCATAAGGACTGGCTGGTGGCCACCACATCCTCTCCCCTTGTGGCCCTCGCCCCGTTCCCACTCTGCCTAGCTCTTGTGAGACACAGGTAGCCACCGTGTCCAGTCCTGTCTGGCGCCGTGCCACTCTGTGGTCCTCAGGGCTGGCAGCACAAACACTGGGCAGGACCAGCCTCTGTCTCCTCCACCCCACTTGCCACGGCAAGCGATGGTGAGTGGAACCACGGGAATGTGAGGCACTTGGCCCTCCTGGGCTTCCTGGGGCAGCAAAGAGCCGTTTGGAGGGGAGTGACGTGAGAGCTTCTGGTCTAAAGCTTGAACCTTAGCATTGTGCTGCAGCTGTGACACTTATCTGGCTTAGGGGATCAGGCGCCGGGTGTGCAAATGGGGCCAGGGCTCTTGCAGAGCCAGCATTACCTCAAAAGCACCCTTAAGCCAGCCTGTGACCATGTACGCGCCCACTTGGCCCAGCTCAACTCTGTGCCCACCTCCCAGAAGTCCTGAGTGCACATCTCATTGTCATCCAAAATCCACCCATGAGGCTGTTTGCTCAGCATCCACAGGCCCCTCCAGCTCTCCCTTTAAAAACTGGCCCGGAGAGGGAAGAGCCAGGACCTGCCAGCAAAGCTTTTCTTTTCAATAGAGGAGTCCCTGTCCCAAAGGCAGGCGCGTGGGAAGGCTGGTACAGCCAGATGAGGTCGGGCCAGGGGCTGCTCTGACACCAGCTCCCACAGTCAGAGATCCTCGGTGTTCTGCCAGCAGGACAAAATGGACCCTTTGCTCCATCCTGTTCCTACCAGGACATTGGCAAAGTCTCCCTGGCTTCTCTTGGGCCGAGCCTGGGGTATGTCCCCACTGGCACTGGCGGTCCCAGCACTGCTGTCTCCCAAACAACCCCAATCTCTGCCCTCCCGGTCATCCCGGGAAGTCCCCCGGGACCCCAGTCCTACTCTCAAGCATTTGTCCCCTCCAGCTCTCGCATGTCCCCGGCTGCAGCGGCTTGTCCTGGTACTCTGGGACCACCCAGGGCAGCTGGCAGCTCCGGGCTCCCTGCCGGGACCGCAGCGCCCGGAGCCAACCCCCGGACACGGGAATGTGCCCGCGGCGGCCCCCGCAGCCCTCACAGCCCGTGAAGGGGGCCCGCGGCAAGCCCGACGAACCCCGGAGAGCCGGGACCCGCGCCCTCTGGTCCCTGCGGGACCGTACCCGGGCCGCGGCTGTGCCGGTGTCCTTGTGCGCGGGGCCGGCGGGGCCGGTGACCGGCAGCTCGAGGCGGGGCCGATCCATCCAACACGGCTGAGCCCCTGCGGCCGCTCCGTCTCCCTCTTGGCCCGGGGCCCCGGGGCCGGACGGGCTTGGTCCAGGGCCTCCCGGTCCTTCCCGCCATGGGCGAGCAGCGTCCATCGCGCCGTCCCCACGAGCTGCTCCGGGACCCGCCGCCCAGGCTCGAGCCGCGGGGCTGCCGCCGCGCCCGCCCCCGGTGCCGGTGCCGGTGCCGCAGGGATCGTCCCCCGCCCGCCGCCCCCCGCCCTTGCGCCCTCGCCGCCCGCGCACATTACCTGGGCGGGTATCGCCGACGCTGACGCTCGCCCGCGCTGACCGAGTCCCGGGCGAGTAGGAAGCCGGCGGCGAGAGAGCCGGCGCCCACCATGGCCAGGAGGCCGGCGGAGCGGCGAGCGGAGAGAGCGCGAGCGAAGGTGCTGGCCATGTCGGAGCGGCGGAGCAAGCGCGCCGGGGCGGGCAGCGGACGTGAGGGGAATCGGAACGGGAATGGGAATGGGAACGGGAACGGCGGCGGGGCGCGCGGGGGCGGGGAGCCGGCGGGGCACGGGGGGGCCTGGCGGCACCGCCACCTGCTTGGCTGCCCCGCCCCGCCCCGCCCCACCGAGCCTCCGCCGCTTTCAGCACCGCTCTCCGGACAGCGCCGGAGGGGCGGCTGCGCCGAGACGGGCCGGCTCCGCACCGGGACCCACTCCTCGGAGCCTCTCGCCGCGCCCTGGGGCGCGCGGGCACCGCCCGGTCAAAGTTCGTCCACCTGAAGCCGGGAGCGGCGACCGCGGCTCCTCGACGGGGTGCGGCCCGCGATGGGTGGCGGGGTCGGGGGCCTGTTTTTGGCGGTCACCAGCCCTCCCGCAGTGCCCGCCACGCCGACGGGGCCGCACCGGCGGGCCAGGAAGTGCGCCGCGTTCGCTACCGCAGACCCCCGAGGGACGGGAGCTGCTGGCGCAGAGCTGCGTTGCTCTGGGACACAGGAAGCGGCCACCCAGTAGAACCCCGCGCCCAGCCCGCTACGGCCGAGTGTCCCTCCCGGTGCAGCCGTGCGCCTGCCGTTACAGCACGGGCCCGGCGCGGGGCCCGCGCCCACGTGCGCGCGGCGCGCCTGCCCGCGCTGCAGGACCCGCCGCCAGGGGCCGCCATGCTGTGCCCGCTCGCGTCCCGGCCGGCCCCGCCTCCTCCGCGCCCATTGGCTGCCTACGGCCGTCAGGAGACGGTGATTGGCCGGCGGCAGCGCCCGCAGCGCAGGGTGCGCTCGGAGGCCGCAGGTGAGCGGAGCGAAATGGCGGCGCCTAGCGTGGCGCCCCCTGCTGCCGCCGGGGGGGCAGGGGCGGCCGAGGGGCCGGGACCGGGGCCGGGGCCGGGTCGGGAAGCGAAGGGAAGCAGAGCGCAAGGCGGGGAGGGGTAGGGCGGCCGACCGCGCCGCTGCTGGGCCCTGTTTGTCGGCGGCTGTCGGGGAGCGCCAGGTGGGCGGCAGCGGCGGCGCCACGGCGAGGCGCGGCCCGGTCCCGTGCCGCCCCCGCGGCTCGCCACAGCTCGCCTGTGCCTGCCGGGCCCGGGGTCCGGCCTGGCGGGCGAGGCTCGGGCAGGCCGCTCGGGGCCTGTGCGTGCCGGCGCGGTGCGGGTGCCTGCCCGCTCTCCGGGCGGCGGCGGCTCGCCCTTGGCGGGGCTGCCTGAGGGCGCGCCGCGCTCCCGGCCCGGTCCTGGTCCCTGCCTGTGCCTCTGCCCCGCTCTCCGGTGCCGCTGTCTCTCCCGAGCCTGGCGGGCCGGTGTTTGTGAAGCCGCCACGGTGTGCGCGGGTAGAGCGGCAGCGGCCCCCCGCAGTAAACCCTCAGTGACAGCGGCCGCGTGGAAGGAGTTCCCGTGCTGAGGAGTTTGACGCTTTTCAGGTCCCCCAGTCTGGTTAAATAGTGCGTTACGGGCAGCGGCAGACGCGAGGGGTCTCGCCGCCGGGGCGGCACTGCGCGGTGTGCGGGTGAAGCGAGGGCTGCCGCTCCCGCAGCGTTCGGCCCCCCGACAGCGCTGCGGGGATCCGCTGGACGTGACTGCCGCTTCCCGCCTGTCAACGCCTGCGTTACCGGAACAGAGGGATTTCTCTGATACGGCACGTCCAAATAGTTTTAATTATTGACCCTAGAATAGGTGATGTTTCTGTTCCGAAGCAATTGAGTGCCCATGAGAGGAGCACAGCTTTCACCATTTTAAAGTATGGAATTAACCTTAATGCAAACAGCCCTTGCAGCAGTGGAAGTAACTCTCTGTGTGTCACTGGTCATGCAGAGGTGTGTTAGTGGTCACGCATGCAAAGGTATTTCACTGCTCAGGGCCTAAGCATTCAGGGTTGTTTTTTTTGGACTGGTTGGTTGGTTGGTTGTAGGGCCACCAGCGGTTTCAGATAGTTCTACAAGACATTGGCAGCATAAGTGTTTTAAAATGCCAGCTATGTGTATTTTTAGAAGTCATGATCCTGCACGCACTTGACCTGGCTTGGCTAGGCTGTGGGTCTCTAAGTTGGATCATGCTTGCAGGCTTTCTGCTCGCCGGGGTAATCCCAAATTCCTGCCACTGACAGTACGATAAGCCATGCTCCTGTCCGTCAGCCTGGCACTACAGAGACTGCACCTCCATCTGCACCTTTTGTTTAAAAACTGAAATGACACAAAACACTGACATGCAAGCCCACTCTTTGGTTGGTTAATGCCACACTGAGTACAAACGTAATACAAGACCTAATCACATCTTCACACCTTAAATGTCTGGTACCTCAGAAGCAGGGCACAAAGAATTTCTTTACTTTGTGAGCACCCTTATCTGAACAGCACCAGAATGATCTGCTGGGGAACCAGAAAACCATTTCCTGTATAGTTTCTTATCTCTAATACAGGGCAGTCTAGGGAGCTGAAACAGTCCCAGGCCATCAGAGGTAATGTCTGTGGCTCCATTTAGGGTTGTGTGTCAGCAGATTTGGATTGCTGCTGGGGTAATTTCGGTAACCTTTGGTATGACTGTGCAGCAGATCACAGCTGCCCCTCCTGGAAGTGCAGCAGGAAAGTCTTCAGCTGCAGTAGCTGGCATGTACTTCCTCCTGTATCTGTGACAGGACTACCAAGCCTGAATATTCTGACTCATAGCCAGGATCATCCTTAGCTTTTGTGTGCATGTGCCAGAGCTGCATTAGTCCTTTTGTCTCCCTTGGGTGACACAGTCAGCAGCATTAACTCAACACTGAATTTTCTTGCTGTGATTAGTGAGAGGTGAGGCCATAGCACTCTCAGCAGCTGTGAACTGGGCAAAATGTGTGGCTTCCATGAGCAGTTAGCTCAGCAGTCAGCAGGGACAGAGCCATCAGCATGCTGTGGTTGGTGTGAAAAGTGTGGGCTGTGTGCTGTGCAGGAGCCTGCAAGAGTTCCATGATGGCACTTGCCACCCTGCTGGCATATGAGCCCCGTGCCAGTTCAACTCCAGAGCTGGCTCAGGTGTGGTGGGCAAACTTCCTGTCACTGTCCTTAGATACCAGAATAGAACTCCACTTTCCTGTGTCCATTTAAGAGCAACAGTCTGAGTTTTTAACGGCTGTAGCTAAAAGTTATGTTCATCAAGAGTCTGTATTTGCCTGGTATAAGTCTATGGTAAGGGATCTGCTTTTAAGAAAAACTAGAAGAAGGTTCCAGTTAAGCCTTCCCCCACACCTGAAATCATGAGGCTTTCCTCATGTTTTCCATGTTTTTTATTAACATCATAGTCACACCTGTGCTATCAGTGGCTGTCAGCTTCAGTGAGGCTCTGAGTTTTTACCTGATGTGAGTATGATGTGTCATGGCCTTGAAACAGAGCTGTAGAGCAAGGAAGAGGCTTTGTCTCTGGGATAGGAGGAGGAATACAGAGAAGTTACTGCTTTCTGAGTTCTTGGGCCAAAGGTTTTCCTGCTGCTTATCTGTTTTTTTTCCAAGAGGGAGGGGAGAGTAAGGGATTGGAGAAAATAACCCTCCTCCTCCTGCGTGGTTTGCTTCACTTCATCAAATCATCAGCCTTCCAGCTGATAGTATAGCTGCTAAGGGTTCATTCTGCACTGATGTGCTGAGGCAGCAGGACACAGGCATGAGATGGTTCCTGCCTACGTTGGGAATGCTACTCTTGTCCGCCTCTGGAGATAGCAGGGCTATGTGGAGTGCACAGTAAATACCTCTACAGCCTGGTCTGCCAGCGCTGTTCCTCCCACTAGCAGCGAGCACTGGTGGTGAGTATCAGCTCTGACTGAAACGTTTCAGTGCCAGATGTGTGCTGTGCTTTGAGGATTTTGTGGCGGCAGCAGCAGCAGCACTGGGTTCGGTGCATGGGACTGAGATGGAGGAGATCATCCTTGGTGTGGTATGTACGGAGTCCAGGCTTGCTGTGTCCCCTGTGTGGTTTCTGTTGGGTCGATGTCCGCTCCCCCAGTGGATCCTTAGGCAGGAGGAATGCTTTTGGCTACTCTATAATAAGGAAAAGCACAGTGACAGACACCTGCTTGATGCTGTGGGTGGAGCTTAGGTCGATGTGAACAGCTGTGTCCTTGGCACGTACAGGTCAGTTGGATGGTGTGTTCAGACTCTGTCCCCTCTGAGGCAGGCACTGCTGCTCTTGTAGGTGACAGTGGAGGACATGATCCTTTCCTGGCATTTCTAAGTCATAGCATATATTCAGCAGCTGATCAAAGGAGGTGATTGTTCCACTCTGCATTGGTCACAGCACTAAGTCTGTGTAAGTTCAAGAAGCCTGTGGACAATGCTCTCAGGCACATGGTGGGGTTCTTGGGGTGTCTGTAGAGGGCCAGGAGCTGGACTCAATCTTGATGGATCCCTTCCAACTTGGTGTATTCTGTGATTCTATGCCAGCTTGCAAACCCAGACATCCTGACCTGCTACCTAAACTGTTGCTGATGCTCCTTCTGTGTCCTCTTTCCTTGCCATAGAGTTTTCACTTGTTTTTCCTCCCTGCAAACTCCTGCACCTCTCAAACTGTTCTCTCTGTAACTGTAGGTCTTCTTGAGCTGAAAGGATGAACATTGGCAATTGGAAAATCACTGTCACTGACCTGAGCTTTATACTGACTTCTGGAGTCCCAGTTGATGTTGTTGGGCTTATGAGTCTGCAGGAGTGTCCCCTGTCCCTGTCCATGATTTAGACAGCGGTTGGACATGCATCACTGTAAGGGTTACATGGTTTCAATGCTGGTGCTGACACTTTCCTAGTGCAAGGGGCTTAATTGCAAAATGGAGCTGCTTATCTAAAATGATCCAGAATTCTGGATCCCCTCCCACCTTGAGAGTGTCTTCCTGTTCCCCCTTTTTGTGCTGGGCAGCTCTCTCCCTGGGTTCCCTCATGCTGGATCAGTCCCTGCCCTCCCCACCATCATTTGCTTCCATCAAGCAGCTGGCCCTGGGGTCGCCCTGCATCTGACCTCTCTCCCTTTTGTACACTGTAATTCCAGAGCGGGATGGTCGGCCACCAAAGCTGCAATGTCGTCCCTGACGACCTCCAGTGAGGGAGAGAACTCTGCTCCCAGGTTTGTTGTTGGTTCCAGAGATGATGAGACAGAATTTCTGGGATCAAACATGAAGACAGACGAAACTGATTTCTTTGAAGATGATGAAGAGGAGGAGTCGGTAAGGAGGTCCCAGCATTCTGGGCTGGAGCACCTGTGTGGAATCCCTGGGTCTCAGCCAGGTTTTGCATGGTGGCTGCTGGGGCTGCAGCTGTTTGGGACTGCAGGGGACACAGCACCTGGCGGTGTGGCACAGCCGTGGGACACAGCGGTGGCATTTATGGCAGGACACATTACATCATGCTGCCGTACTCACTGCCTCAGGAAATTCAGCTTTTTTGCTTGCAGATCTGATTCAGGAAAACTGGTGGATTTCTTTGTTCTAGAGACTTAACCTGACATTCCTGTAAGTCTTTCTGTTTCACCAGGGAAATTTTTTGGGGAAACTCTGGCACCTGTGAAAAGGGCAAAGGTGTCTCTGCAGAGAGGAAACATTCATTTTTTCTGTAACCTCCAGGAACAGGATGCAGAAAAAATGATCTCTAGCTCCTGACTGCTTTTGGCCCCTATTCAGTGTTACATTAAATGCCACTAAACTGATCCCTGTCTTCCCCTCTGTCAGCCTCCAGAACGGCAGATCGTGGTGGGAATCTGTGCCATGACCAAAAAGTCCAAGTCAAAGCCCATGACACAGATTCTGGAACGTCTGTGCAAGTTTGAGTACATCACAGTGGTGATCATGGGGGAAGATGTTATTCTGAACGAACCAGTGGAAAACTGGCCCTCTTGTGACTGCCTGATATCCTTCCACTCCAAAGGTAACACATCTCTAGCAGTCCTTAGCCTGCCTGAGCTGTGAGCAGGGAGTTTCCTTTCAGCCTTCTCCTCTGTCCTCACCCTGTATTTCAGGATTCCCCCTGGATAAGGCAGTTGCTTATGCCAAGCTGTGCAAACCATTTCTGATCAACGACCTTGATATGCAGTATTACATCCAGGACAGGTGGGTGTCTGTGAGCCACTAAAGCCCCTTCCCTCCTCCTCTGATTCTTCTCAGCATGCTGTGGAATCTTAATTTTTCTGGTCACAAAGGAGTGAGATGAGGAGGAAGGGGACCTTAGCAGGGGACCTTGGCTTTTTGGGGTCTCTCCAAAGCATGGAAGGGAATGGCTTTGAGGGTAAAACCATTGAGACCATGTAAAATCATGCTTTATTTTCTGGTGTAAATGTCTTGTAAGGAGTGGCTGGGATGTAGGGAGTGGAAGAGTTCTCACAGAACAAGGCTGCTATGACTAAAGCAAAAAGACTAGTCTCTATGCAGGAGAGCTACGTGGTGAGATGGGGCTCTGAGTCAGAAATTGGGAGCAAGGCTGGGTCAGAATCTGTTGAACCTGTGTTGGTCAGACACGTGAGGTTTCTTGGTCATCTGTTGCTAGAGGCCACCAGCAGCCACATACTTGAGCCCTCATACCCAGGCTGCTTTGGCTGTGTGTGAGTAGGGCTCCTAACAGATCCTAAACCTCCTGCCCTGTCTTTGTGGTGGTGAGCAGTGTTACGTGGGTGCTGGCAGGCATCCCAAGGTGTAACTAGTGAAAGAACTGGGGTTTGCCCCTTGGCACAAGATGAAAGAAAGTTCCTGCCACTTCTGCCAGGCCTGGCACTGGACAGCTTGGCGTGACAGGGCACTCTCCAAGGGGGTGGGTCTGGGCAGGTGGTGTGTACTGGGTGTGCTGCTCTGCTTTGGGCACATGCTAATAATTGAGTGTCCATGTCTAGCCCGGGTAGAGATTTACTCTGGGGCATCTGTGTCCAGAGCAGGACTGAGGCAAACCCTGTAGCCCATAGGACTCATCCAGAGAGCATATGCTGAGAAGTACCTGCAGTTGTCTTGATGCTTTTTGTATTCATCTGACTGTGTTCTTCATCAGTGGGAGTGAAGTCTTTCCCTTGGTGTGTACTGAGGACCTTCTAAACTCTTCTGACACTGCTTCTGTCCTCTACAGGCGTGAAGTGTATCGGATCCTTCAAGAAGAGGGAATAGACCTGCCCCGCTATGCTGTGCTCAATCGAGATCCCGACAGACCAGAAGGTCAGTGTTCAACTTCTACTGAAAGCCATTTCCCCAGGCTCTGCTACTTAAGATAGTCTGCAGAGGGCAGATACTGGCAGTCACCTCAAAGAGGCCTGACTCATAAGTCTCTCGGGGTTTTTTTGTGGGCAAAGGTCCCAGCAGCAAAACTGACTGATGGTCCTGGAAGGGGCTGTGTCTCTGCACTGGGACTGTCTCACCTTTCCTGATGTGCTGCTGCTGTGCTCTGTCTTCAGAGTGCAACTTGGTGGAAGGAGAGGACCATGTGGAGGTAAACGGAGCTGTGTTCCCAAAGCCATTTGTAGAGAAGCCAGTCAGTGCTGAAGACCACAATGTGTATATTTACTACCCGACATCAGCAGGCGGGGGCAGCCAGCGGCTCTTCCGTAAGGTGAGGAGGGGTCTCCAGAGCTGTGTTGGAACCAACGCATCTGAGACTCATGTGGCTTCAGGAAGGAGTGTTGGGGCAGGTGAAGGGAAAGCAAGGTTTTGTGCTGGGGAAGTTTAGACCTTCTTAGAACTTTTAGTTCAACCGCATCTACCTGGGAACCACAGAAGGACGTATTTTAGTGGTAGTGCTGACTTCACCTTCCCCGTCCTCTTGGTGACCTTTGTCCTGTAGTCATGGAGCACTGTGTCCCTTTCTGAATTGCATGCTGATTTCTCCTGGGTTTATCAAGATGAATTTTTCAAAAAACCTACATTCCTGTCATTTAATATCATTCTTGCCCTTCCCATTTAGTGTAGCTTGCACATGTGATAAAAGCAGTATTTATTCCTAGATTTCACAGGAAATCTGCCCTTACTCGCATCCCCCACTTTTCCGGTGAACAGTTACAGCTGTGATATATCTTTTTTCCAATCAGTTACACATCTGGCATGAATAAACCTAAAATGATTGTTCCCTTAGGTAAGAGACAGGTATGCTTCTTGAGGTTGTATCCAAAGCCTTACTAAAAATGAAAACAGCATCATCCTCGATGTCAATAAAATCATGGTCCTAGAAAAAAATTAAATTGGTTGGATTATCACCTGTCATAATTTATTTTTATTTGCATATTAGATTAGGCTCCTTACTTTGTAGGTATTTTTTCACTTTTTTTTTTGTTTCACATCCTTGAAGTGATTGGAAACAAATTAATGGTCTATAATAGCTTTTCTCCTCTTTAAAGCCTGGAAAATGACATACCTGCTGCCTGCGTTTTGGTCTCTCTTGTCCTCCATAAATAAGTGTGCTGTAATGTCTGGGGGGCCCGAGATGCTAATCCATTAAGTCTGCTAAATTCTCTACATATGGGATGAAACTTCTGCTTTTCTGCTTCCATCTAAGGAAAGGATGCCTGTGCTTTTCCCTGAGGTGTTTATTCTGCGTTTTCAGATTGGCAGCCGCAGCAGCGTGTACTCCCCAGAGAGCAGTGTGAGGAAAACAGGCTCCTACATTTATGAGGAGTTCATGCCTACGGATGGCACGGATGTGAAGGTAAGGAAAAGCCTGGAATGGTGCCTTCCTTTGTCAGGCCTGGGGGAGCTGAAAGTTCAGCAGTTCTGCTTAGTCCTACTTAGGCTCTGGAATGTGCACTTAAGCTTTGAGGTGCTGACTGCGCAGTTTCAGCCCCAAAGTGGGGAGCAGGTGCTCTGTAGATCTCACCAGGAGGAATGTGTGAGACCATCTCATCTCCTTTTGTGTGTCTGCAGCAGAAATACCTTCTGGAAGCTGCAGTTGGTCTTGCTGGCTGTGTCAGGTGTGCTCGCTCTGATTCCAGGTGTACACTGTTGGGCCGGACTATGCCCATGCGGAGGCTCGCAAATCCCCTGCTTTGGATGGCAAAGTGGAACGGGACAGTGAAGGGAAGGAAATTCGTTACCCAGTCATGCTGACTGCCATGGAGAAACTCGTTGCCCGTAAAGTCTGCGTAGCCTTTAAGGTCTGTATTTTCTTTCCTGTGCAAGCAGGACTCCACAAATGTCTGATATGTGTCAGGGTTGGTGTTAAAACTTGTCATCCTGGCATGTCTCAGGCATGGCAATCCTCCATGCCTGATGCCAGTTGTTGGTCCTGCTGGCTGTGGCACTTTGCTGGGCAGAGGTGACTGGGAAGGCAAGGGAGCCTGCAGCAAATGCCCTCTGGGCTGGTCAGTGCCTGGTGTCCACACACATCTGAGCATTTAACACTGGATCCTGAACATGCTGCTCTCTATCTGACGTGTGCTCATCCTGTGTTAACTGTGTCAGTGGAGGAAGCACTGGACTCCTTGTTCCTGCTCCACTGCAACTGGCACCCCATGCAGTTGGAACTGATGCAGATGTGGTCTCTTTTCTACCTTGTAGCCTTTTCCATTTAGTGATGGGTGTCTTTGCCTGCAGCACTTCTTGTCCGTGCTTGTCAGTCTGGTTAAAAATTATTGGATTTGAAAGGAAGAGCAGGATATCCAGGAGCTGCTCTTTCAGGTCTTTAGAGCTCTGGGAAGTCAGGGGTTGGCCCTGATGGCTTCATCGGGGCTTTGTGGTTAGGGCCTTGGGTTCAGCAGTAAGGGGGTAAAGGTCTGACTGATGGCATGTCTTCACACTTGTTCTGGGCTTGTGAGGTGGGCATGGAGTGGAGGATGGCTGTAGCACCAGCAGGGCTGAACTGGGCAGTGTTGGCTGGGTCTGTGTGCCCTGCTGGCACGGTCGCTGCTGTCCCGCACTGCTTCCTGCCTGTGTATCCATGTCCCAAATCCTCTGCTTCCTCCTGCAGCAAACCGTGTGCGGGTTCGACCTCCTGCGGGCCAACGGCCACTCCTTTGTCTGTGATGTGAACGGCTTCAGCTTTGTGAAGAACTCCATGAAGTATTATGATGACTGTGCCAAAATCCTTGGGTATGAGCAATCTGAGTTTTGATAAGGTGGTAAGGTAACTCACAGCAAAGTAAAATGAAATGTGGAGTCTTGGTCAGTATGTCAGAGAAGTCTGCAAGTGGTTCGTGCGAGTCATTTGCTGAGCAGGTGAAAGCTTGGCTTTGGAGGAACGGGTTATTTTCAAGCCCTGGAGCTCCTGCCTGCATTGGCAGGAGCTGTCTTTGTCTACAGCTAGATGTATCTTCCAGGACTTTTCATTGCATGCTGAACCCAGTTGTGGTATTGGTGATGTGGGGGAAAGTGGTACCCCTTTTGGGTGCCCTAACTAGCCCCAAAGGTAGTTAGGGGTGTGATAGGTGTCTCAGCAATGAAAGTGAGGAGAAATTCTGTGGCTTTCTTCACATCTTTCAGCAGGACTGCTAAGGAGGAGGTGGAGAATCAAGGGAATGGATTTTCTTGTGAGTGTTGTATTTTGATTTCTTCCAGAAATATAATCATGAGGGAGTTGGCTCCCCAGTTTCATATCCCCTGGTCCATCCCAACAGAGGCAGAAGACATCCCCATTGTCCCCACTACTTCAGGCACCATGTAAGTACCTGCCATCTTCTCAAAAGGATGCCAGCAATGGCTGTGAGTGACAAAGCATGAAAAACCCTGTCCAAGGGCCTGACACCACTAGCAGCATGGCATCCTCCAGCTGCTGTGCTGCTTGCAACCCCGAAATGCCTGTGGAAAGGCTTATCTATGCACGTGGAAGTTGTGACAGGTTGGAGATTAGTTGTAGATTTGGTGAATGCAGATGAGCAGTAACTGAAGAAGTTATAGAAACTGCTTACATGGCTTTCAGAGGTCCAAATTCTTCGTCAGGACAGGAAACAGATCAGGACAGATGCTGTCGCTGGCTGCTACTTGGAGAAAGTGCATATTGAGCTACCAGTGAAATAGGTGGAAACACTTAGCTGAAATATTCATAATTACCCATATGCTTGGCAGCCCCTCATTTGATAGCTTTGGCCTTACTAGTTTTCTAGCACATAAGGCTAAAAGATCAAAGGCAGAAGTTTCTTTGTGATCCTCAGCATATTTGTACACTGGTATGAAACCACTCAACTTAGTAGTGTCTGCAGAGCTCTGACTCCCTCTGCAGCTGAGGCACTTGTGTCTGGTTTAGTCTGGGAGAAATTCTACCCTTGCTCAGGAAAGCAGGTGTCAGAAGAATGGAGCTGAAAGAACAATGGGAAGCTACTTCCTGGTGGCAGTTCTGGACTGTAAGGGCACATTTGTCATCTTTATCTTGTGTTTCCCCAGGATGGAGCTTCGCTGTGTTATTGCAGTCATCCGGCATGGAGATCGCACCCCGAAGCAGAAGATGAAGATGGAAGTGAAACATCCCCGGTAAGAGCCAAGGGAAGAAGGTGCTGTGCTCCTGGGAAGGGATGAGGGCCTGTTCTCTAAACCAGAAGCAGGAGCAGAGGGCTGAGTGCACAGGAGGCATTATTTTTCCTGGCCCATCCAAGCAAATGCTTTCTGACCAGTTGAGAGAGCCCCCTTTCCCCACAAGGATCCTGACACCTTCTGTCACACTGGAAGGGAGAGTGAAGGTATGGTAGGTGCTGAAAAGGGAAGTGCCCCACTGAATGGGAAGCTAGTATCTGCTTACTGGTTGTATTTTGAAAAACACTTGTTTTTTCAGTTTCTGAAGCACAGGGAAGAGCCAGCAGCCTGCTGGTTCTCCCTGAAGAACAGAGACTGAATGCACTTGTGGGAATGACCCTCCTTGTATTATTGAAACAGCAGAAAATGCATCAGCATTCTTTTTTGTCTGTTCAGGTTCTTTGAATTATTTGAGAAATATGATGGTTACAAGACAGGGAAGTTGAAGTTGAAGAAACCAGAGCAGCTACAGGTGAGGAAGTACATTCTGGGGTTACTGTGTGGGATATGCAGGTAGTACAGATCCTGGTGTGAGGCAATTCTTTGGGAGGGTGCAAACCTCCAAAAGGACAACAGTCTGTCACACAGATGCTCTCTGTCTCGTTCTGCACCCTGTGCACACCAGCTGGGTGACAGCAGGAGGGCAGAACAGAAACTTGTGCTGCCTGAGCGCACACTGTAGGATGGAGATGCCTGATGTGGCTTGCCCACCAGCTGTGGCTGCCTCTGGTGACAGATGGGGCTGTGACAGGGAGTGGGGCAGTTGGAGGAACCTGCTTGGTTCTCAGCAGGACTGTAGTACAGCATGGGGATGAAGCAAACTGCAGTGTGAAAGATTGTCCTGCCTGAGCTGTGTCTTGTGAAATGACATGCCTGTGAGGAGTGTCTGCATGGACCTGATTCTAGGTGAGGCTGTTAGGAGGCCTTGCAGGAGTACACTGCTAAGTCTGAGGCAGAGTTGCTCTCTGCTTTCCAACAGGAAGTGCTGGACATTGCACGGCAGCTTGTGGTGGAGCTGGGAACCCACAGTGATTGTGAAATTGAGGAGAGGAAATCCAAACTGGAACAGCTGAAGAGTGTCTTGGAGATGTAAGCATTCCTGTCTAGGGGCACTGTGGGTTTGCCTCAGAGCATGTGATACAGAAGCCAGCTGTGCTGCTGGTGTCCTGGCCAGCTGGTGCCCAGAGATTGGGGTCTCCTCTGTCCCCTGTTAGTAACTGAAAGGCACCATGTTCCTCACTTATTCTCCTTGACATCAAAACCCTGCTGATCTTTGTCCCAAGTGTGTCTGGTGTTTGGCTAAACAACTTGAGACAAAACTGAGCTTTCTTTTCTGCAGGAGAGGAACTGTGGTCCTGGAGGGACCATGTTGATATGAAGCATTTTGATATAATTGGAATAAAACTTGTTTTAAATAAAGTTGTCCTGCTGCCAAAAGTTTAGCAAAAAGGAGCTTGGAAAACATGAAAAGATGTTTGTATCCTCTGAGGTTTTGTACAGTCAAAATAAAAATGTGGTGGTATTGACAGCTTCTAAACAAAACAGGGTTCCTCTCAGGACTGCAGCTAGCTATGGCACACACAGCCAGCATCTGTGTTCAGGCCGTCTCTGGAGCACAGAGGAGGACTTTTTGCTGTGATTCCCTCCTCTACTCTTTCTGCTCATCAGAAATATGGTTATCCTCAAAGCATCTGTCAGAGTGTTTTTTCTCTGTGATCTCATCAATCCACTTGTTAAAGATGTTGATAGAGTTTAAAGCTCTAGTGAGGAATGACAGCGTAGAGTGCTCTTGGTAGAAGAGCAAGGGAATGGATCTTTGAATTTTGTTTGAGGGAGCTGTGTGGCTTTTTGTGGGGGTCTATGCTGGGTCACAGGGAGGTGACAAAAATCATGTTGCATGGCTATGGGTGTTGCAGCAGAAAGTCTCTTGTTTGTGCTGTACTTCTACCGGGTACTGCCTGGGGGCCTCTGGGCAAAGGTTGGGTGGAGCTGATTGTTTCAGGTTTTTTTTCTCCATCCCTTATGACAGGTATGGACATTTTTCTGGCATTAACCGTAAGGTTCAGTTGACCTATTTGCCTCATGGACATCCAAAAGCTGTGAGTGAAGATGAAGGTAAAGAAACCTGATGGTGCTACCTAAACCCGATCTTTAAGGCCAGAGTTCAGCTACCCTACCTGGATAGGCCTCTGGACATGCAAGCAGAATTGGTGACCCATATCTTATCTTTGCTCACATCGTGGGAAGGATTGAAGGGATGCCAGTGCGCCCTGCTTGGCTCTACAGGGCTTGCACTTCCAGTTTTGTGAATATCAGCCTATATTTCAAAAACTAGTGACTCTGAATTTCCTACTTGCTGATTCGTTTCCTGGGGGAGTTTGGGTCAGGCCTGTGTTGAGCACACTCTGCAAGGTGCTGATGACAGCCTCTTCTTCCTCCCTTCCTCTCACTCTGCAGGCTCAGATATGAGCTCTGGTGTAGTGAGTACCTGTTTGTCTCCTAGAAGCTCGCCGAGAGTCCTCCCCCTCCCTTCTCCTGGTGCTTAAGTGGGGAGGAGAGCTGACCCCGGCAGGAAGAGTCCAGGCTGAGGAGCTGGGGCGAGCCTTTCGCTGCATGTATCCTGGAGGCCAAGGTGAGTTTGGCCAGGTGCCTCTGGTCCTGCCCCGTGGCTGCCCAGCCCAGGGAGGGTTGCTCAGGCATCTGTGGCTGTGTACAGCCTCTGCGGTTAACTTTTGTTCTTTTGAGTTGGCATGGTGGGGCTAAATAATTCAGCTGGGTTTTGTACCCAAAGATCCCTGAGCTGACCCGAGAGATCTGCTGTTAGACTTCAGTGTGTCATGGAATGCAGCAGCTTTCTTTACAGAATGTGCCAGCATTCAAAAAAGACAGGTGGTTCTAATAAGGCACATTCTGATGCAGCAAATGCAAAGGTTTTGAATGGTTAACAAGGAATTTAGGTCAAATGTAGAGAACAGAAGAGATCTGTCTTGGAACACAGATAATTCTGCCCTGAGACAGGAGAATAAGGAGGTAACAGCTCCATATTTTCTGCACCATAGTTCTGTGATGCTAAAAAGCATCTAATATGCACACAAATCAACAAGAGCTGAAAGGGAAAAAAAACCCAAATGCTGAGATTGCCTTTGAGTCAGGAGTAATATACTGGATTGATCCAGTGAGCCTAGTATTGGATATGCTTGTCTTTGACTTGTGTGTTAAATTAATTCAATTTAATTAATTACATTTCAAATTAATTAAGCAAATTTAAATTGGATTGGAGAAGATTTCTTTCTAGAATAAGAAAGAGTTGCCTTTGGTGGAAGAGAATCGGGTCAGGGGACACTTAAGCAAGCTGGACATACATGACCCCAGGGGCCCTGATGGGCTGCACCCACAGTGCCAAGGGAGCAGGCAGCTGTCCCTGCAAGGATTCTCTTTGAAAGGCACCTCTGGGGACTGGGGAGGTGCCTGAGGACTGGAGGAGAGGAAGTGTCACTCCTAGCTTCAAAACTGACGAGAAGGAGGGCCCAGGGAACTGGAGCCAGGTCAGCCTCAGCACGGTCTCTGAACTGGTAATGGAGCAGCTGATCCTGGAGATCATTCCTGGGTACGTGAAGGAGAGGCAGGTGACTGTGAGTAGTCAGCATGGATTCACAAAGGGCAGTAATGCTTGACTAACCTCATAACTTCCTACAGGGAAGTGACCCCCCTGCTTAGATGGGAGTCATTCTGAGCAGCAGCTTTGTACTGCTCCATGTGGTCATTCATGGGGAGATCTTGTTTCACAGGGAAACCTATGTTCATGGGTAGCATTTGGTGCCTGGCAGCTTTCCCAAGACATACATCTGATTTCTGGCTGGTGCCTGGCTGTCAGGGTGTTGCTCTGAGCTGTGGGCTCTGAGCTGGGAGTAGTGTTCCTGTCATGTCACACAATGTGACTGGGTACTGTGCAGAGTTGCCCTGGGATTCCAGGCAGCAGCAAATAGTGACCACTGCACTGACTTTGGAGGTCAGACTCATGAGCTTCATGAGTTACTTTCCTCCATTACTGATCTGACTCTTGTGGTTGACTCAGACATGAGAAATAAACTGGCAATTTGTGCCACAAAGTAATTGTATCTGTACAGGATCTGCTTTGGAAACTTCCCTGCTGAACCTCCCTCCCTGCAGTTCTGAGGGCTGCAGGACCTGCTCTCATGCAGAAAACAAGCAGAAGGAAGTGATTTTTTTTGGGGCATCTTCATTCTGCACTATTATTCAGGTATTCAGGTATTCAGGCTATCAAAACTACTACAAGGTGTTCAGTAGAGTTTGCTGCAGAATTTGGGCCACATCAGACTTGGCTGGTGAATGCTCATTATTTCCCTCAAAATGAACTTTCCCAAGTTAAGCAATGACTTTGTTACATTTCTAGTCCTTGTGTATAGCTAGAAATGTCTATTTTGGAGCAGCATAAATGCTGCCTATGCAAGTGACTAATTCTCTACATAACTTTGTTACTACAATAAAGTTTGTTTGTCTAAACCAGTGTATTCAGCTGATAGATTAGCAGGTGTGAGAGTATGAGCTTTGAGTTGTCCTTGGTTGCAGGTGATTACGCTGGTTTCCCTGGCTGTGGCTTGCTCAGGCTGCACAGCACTTACCGCCACGATCTCAAGATCTACGCCTCGGACGAGGGGAGAGTTCAGATGACAGCAGCAGCTTTTGCAAAGGTCTTTCTTCTCTTTTGGGCATCCGTTTGTTCTGCTTCATTACTCTTAAAATATGCTGGTTCTAAATGAAAACCTCTGGTGATGAGGAAGGAGTTTTCCGGGGATCTTGCCGCTCTCTGTTGGATGGACTGGGGTGCACGGTGCTAATAGCAGCTGTATGGGGCAGTACTGAACATCTGGTGTATCTGCACACACCTGTCACCCTTATGTCCTGTCCAGGGCAGGACTCTCAGTCAGGAAGGAGTTATGTATGGATTATTATTGGTGCTTGATCTTAGAGCACACCAGATGTGCTGCTGAGTATTGATTGCCTATAAAATGAATGTTTCTGGGGTGGCTGCCCAGCCAGAGGGGTCGTTCCTTGCCTGCTGAATTTAAAAGGGGAATGAAATGTCTTTGGTGCATTATGGGGTGGAGACTGGGGAGAAGACAGGTTCATTTTCAGCTGAAGCCACGGGGAATCCTGCGGTGGCCTTAGCTGATCTTTGGAGCATTCACTGCACTAACATTTTCCAGCAAACTGAGCTGCTTGAGAGTCGAGCCTGCTCAACAGTTGCCTGGACAAATGTGGGGCTGCTGCAGGCAAAGTTGTCCTTTGCTTGAACAGCTCTAGAAACATGCCAGAGTCATCTCTGACTGGAGGGGATGTTGCTGTAAAACTGCCCTTCAAGGGCAGTTGAGATTTCGCTTAAGTTGCCTGAGTTTTGGCCATGAAACTACCAGAATTTTTGTTGCTTGGGTTGCACAGACCTGAAACCTTGTCCTGTGTGGTGTGGCTTTAGGGTCTGCTGGCCCTGGAAGGAGAGCTGACCCCCATCCTGGTGCAGATGGTGAAAAGTGCCAACATGAATGGTCTGCTGGACAGTGACAGTGATTCCCTTAGCAGCTGTCAGCACAGAGTGAAGGCGCGACTGCATGAAATCATGCAGAAGGATGCTGAGTTCTGTGAAGAGGATTATGAAAAGGTAAAGCACCAGTGTGGCTTCATTGCTCCCTGCATCTGAAAGGAGAATAGCATTGCTGCAGTGGTTTGATGTGAAGTGTGTGGTATGTGAACAGTGGTTTGGTTAGTCTGAGATCAGTTCGGGTCAAAATGACAGGATATGTATGGAAGTGTGCAGGTCAATAGCCCTTGCTCTTCTTTGAGTGACAGTCCTCAGTGTTGCTCTGCTGTCTCCTTCAAGACTGATCATGGTGCCTTTCTCTCCCTTCAGAATTCCCAGTTCATTTTGCTCTTGTGGGTATGCTAAAAGAGCTCCTGCATGCTGCTCAGATCAACCCCAGCTGCTGAGGGCAGGGAGTGTGCCTCACTGGACTCTAGATCCGTGCTCTATGCACACGTGAACAGACCTTTTGGTTGCAAACTGTTGTGTGTCCTGTCAGGTTCTGATAGCTGCAGAGTAGAGTGCATGGGCTGCATCCAGCACAGTAACCTATGGAAGCATTATTGCTGCTTCTCCAGCAAGTCCCCAAAATAGTGTTTTTTCCGGGCTCTGAAATGTGATTACTGGACTGAAGTCCTTTAAGGAATATATTTATCATCTCAGAGAACTACTTAAAATGAAGCCTTTTTGCTCAAGCACAGTAGCAAAATGAGACAAGAGTAGATATTGTAGGTGGAGGGAGGTCTGATCTGATGGGAGCAGTTGTTTGCTCCCTCTGAGTTTGATCCTGAGGAAGATTTTAAGACATGCCTGACTACTCCTAGGAATAGGCCAGCTTATTGTGCTCATCTGGGAGCACAGCTTTTGTCCCAAGTCAGAAAGCAGTATGGCTGCAAAAGACAGACATTATTCCCTGTGTGTGAAGACTAACTAATGTCTGCTGGAATCTTCTTTCAGCTAGCACCTACAGGCAGTGCTTCTCTGCTCAACTCCATGACCTTTATCCAGAACCCAGTTGAGGTCTGTAACCAGGTTTTCACCCTGATTGAGAATCTCACCTCCCAGATACGGAAACGTCTGGAAGACCCAAAATCTGCAGGTGAGCCATAGAACTGGAAAGGGTCTGGAAGAGATTAATTTGTTCTTACACCTTAAGAGCTCCCAATACCACTAGGGCTTATGTTTGTCTGTAGCAAAGAAACTGTAAAGAGTAGTTCTGTATGTGCTGTTGATGTGGAAGGCTTCACTTTCATTTACTGTTAGAGAGCTGTAATGTAAAGGAAGTGATATGTGCACCTTGGTTTAGAGTAAACGTAAACAGCAGCACTATAGCCTGGAGGGGTATGCCTGTGTTTTTTCAGGCCTTTTCTGGAGACTGTAAACAGCAAGTTTTTCAGTCACAATTTGCTCATCTCAACTTTCCTAGTATCAGTGCAGAGATTTTACACAGGCATCTTGGGGGCCTGCCATGGGATCTGTGGCAGACCTAAGCAACTAGGCAAATGGTTTCACTTTTCTCAAGCATTTCAGTAGCCTGTTGCTGCAGGTTAAAACTCTGCAACAGTTCCAGTGGCTTTTCCAGACTAGGATTCCTGTGGGTGACACAAGAATTGGAGCCCTTTGATGCTGGGAGAAGTCAGTCACAGCTGTCACTTGAAACCTCTGCAGCAATAACCAGGGTTCTATGATTCTGTGGTTTGAGGATGTGAATGTTGTTTGGTGTTCTCTGCTTTTTAGACCTGCAGCTGTACCACAGTGAGACTTTGGAACTGATGCTGCAACGCTGGAGTAAGCTGGAGCGAGATTTCCGCATGAAGAATGGGCGCTATGACATCAGCAAGATCCCTGATATCTATGACTGCATCAAGTATGATGTACAGCACAACTGTGCACTGAAACTGGAAGGCACAACGGAACTCTTCAAGCTCTCCAAAGCCCTGGCAGATGTGATCATACCCCAGGTACAGCCTCTATCACAATACCTGTGGCACCAGAGCCTTTGCCTTTGCATTTTGTCTCAATTCCCTTGCACATTAACTGCCAAGGCAGCCTGTCACAGTAGGATGTTTCTCAGATCTGTCTCAGTGTTTGTATGAGGCCAAAACCATTTATGACTTGAAATGTGGCAGGGCTGGGCTTCTGGTTGAGGATTCTGGCAGGGTCAGAGTAATGAGCAGCTGATGCAGCAGCTTTTCCATGTTTGTTGTAGTGCATCACAGCACAGCTCCAAGCTCTGTGTGTGTGCTACAGCAACATTCCATCCTCTCCACAGGTTGGGTTGTGGAAGTGAAGGGAGATTTCTGTGCTGAAGTTCTGACAAGTTTGTTATTCTTGTCAAATTAGGACTTGTTCAGTTTCCAATGCTGAGTTGCTTCTGACAAAGTTTAATTTATATGGGATGACTTTCTACCAGCAAGGTCCAGCTGCCCCTGTAGAGCAGAAGTGGTCTAAACTTTTTCAGTGTTGCTGGTGATGTGCAGTCTGGCGGTTTTCAGCGTAGCTCTGTAGTTTTTATCTTTGCCAGTAGCAGTTGTTGCTTTAATGTTCATGCTAGCTCAGGGTGTAAGTTTGCATGTCATGAGGTCTGAGCTTCGCTCATGGTCCTTGTGCCTCTCAGCTGTTGAAGGATACTGATAGTCATGTCCAGACATAACTGGGGTTCTTGGAAGAGTCTCAGTCCTCTGTTACCCCCTGCAATAAGTGGGGAAAAAAAAAGTGAAAAATGTTGAGTGACATTTCTGTTCTTGTCCTTGCTTAACCAGTGGTGCTGTGGACTGGGCTGTTGAAGATAAGTGGCCTATTATGTGAGGATGTGGCAAAGAACCAGGGCTCAGGGTACCTGTTGTTTTGTTCCTGCAGGAATATGGGATTAATAAGGAGGAGAAACTGGAGATTGCTATTGGCTTTTGTCTTCCTCTCATTAAAAAGATCCAGCTGGACCTACAGAGAACTCATGAAGATGAGTCTGTCAACAAACTACATCCATTGTAAGGCTTGTGCTGCATGCTGCTGGCAGTGGGGAGGGCAGCTATGGAGCAGGGGGTGGTTCCCATGCCAGAAGAGTGTGCTGTTGTGGAAGAAGGTACTAAGCATACAATGAAGGAGCCTCCAGGAGGAAGGCATGTTGGTGCTCCCAGAACTAGAAGACAGATGGAGAAGGCACATTGAGGCTGCTGACCAGAAGCACAGGGCCACAAAGGCTTGTACCCATTGTAGCTGGATGGTGATGCCTCCTCCAGGCATTTCCCTGCACAGGGCCAGTGTAGAATGATGAGCTACCTACTGTGTGTCTCCATTAGGATTCCACAAAATTGTTGCTCCTGTGCCCAGTGCTCTCACTGTTTCTCTGTCCTGCCGCCTTTGACATTTCTCAGTGTGGGGTTGTGTCATTCCGTTAAGTGTACAGAAATGCTGATGTGTGATGGATGGCAGTTCATTGGCAGGTGAGTAACTGTGGGCTGGTTTGGTTTAGGTACTCAAGAGGAGTTCTGTCACCGGGTCGCCACGTTCGGACGCGGCTGTACTTCACCAGTGAGAGCCATGTGCACTCCCTGCTCAGCATCTTCCGCTACGGGGGGCTTCTGGATGTAAGTGTCCCAGCAGTGCTCACAGAGTAAGCCTCCCTACTTTTTTCCAGTAGCCTTTTCCAAGGCAGACAGTGTATGTTTGTAGGTTACCCCTTAAGCCAGCCCTGCCAAGAATGCTGTGCATCAGTGGCATCTGGCCAGCTCCATCTCTGCTGTGTTTGCATGCTGCAGCTTCCTGCCTTCCTGGCATGTAGGAGGATTGTTCTTCCTCAGTGCCTCCCTTGCTTGCACAGAGACATGCTTTCTCCAAGATCTGTCCTGCTAGTTTCAGGTGAGCAGACCACGAACTTGTCTAGGAGAAGAGCAGTATGAGGCACTGGGGATGAGTGAATTTCTTCCTTCCTGCTTCCTTCAACCCTTTATTTTAAGAGCTTGGTCCTGTATTTATAGTCTTTATATCAATTCTAAGTCAATAAAATCAGTTTTCTTACAGAGGAAGCGACTTGAGGTTGCAAATTCACAGGATGTGCTCTCTACCAGAGAGGCAGATGACACATTTTTAGGGATTAATTGATCCAGCTCACCCTTCACTTGCTCTCTCTTCACCTGCTTCCTGAATGAATTGGTATGCAGACCGTGAGAAAAACTCTGCTTTAAAGAGGCTCTCTGATTTACCTTCCCATTTTTAAACATGGTCTGAAATGCCTTGAGAATTTGGGCTTGCTTAACAGGCATGATTTCTGGTGTCTGTGGCAGCTTAGCACATCTGTAGAGAGTGATCAGAAAAGTGCCTCTAAATCACTCACTGAACAAGATGCTCCCTTTTCCCTGACTCAAGTGCCCAAGGATGCTGTGTTGCCAGCACAGGGATATTGGGCTGCCTCTGGGTTCTTTGCAGCGGAGGTTCAGTTCATGTCCATCAGTGAGGTGATTGGCTTCACAGCATCAGGGGTGGCACTTCAGGTGTGACCATTTCCTGGCAGTGCAGGGTGGGCTGCCCTGCTCTGCGGAGCCCAGGGGTTCAGCGTGTCTCCACATTTTTCATTCAGCGTCAGGTAACAGCATTTCACTTGGTCCCTTATTGTGCACAGGTTCACCCCTTGTGCTCGTTTCTGTAGTTTGAGAATGGCTGTGTTTGGGAACTGCTGGGGGCTCTGCTTGTCTCCAGGCAGTGTGGCACAGCAACTTGCAACTCACACTGGCACATGGGTGGCTTGGGCAGCTGTAGCATCCCTCTGTGCAGATGCTCCTCACTGCAAGCACCCCACCACATTGCAAGGTCATTTCTTCATGCAAATTAAGCAAGGTGCTTTTGTCCTGACAATGTTACCTTGTGGAGGGAGGAAACTCTCTCAGTCCCATTTCACTGAATGCTGCAAGGTGTCTGCTGTTGCTTATCCCATGCGACTGTTTGTGTGTATATATCAGGAAAACAAAGACCAGCAGTGGAAGAGAGCCATGGACTATTTGAGTGCTATCTCAGAGCTGAACTACATGACCCAGATTGTTATCATGCTCTACGAGGACAACAACAAGGTGAGGGATAGAGCAGTAGGATACAGTGCAAGGCACAGTCCTCAGAGATGAGTTCAGTTGGAAGTCTGTAACTTGAGCTCTTGCTGCTTGTGGACAAAGACGGATGGATCGTTAACACAACTGCTAGTTTTTAGTTTGTGTGGGAGGCAGTGGCCCAGTTAATGTTTGTTACATGTAAGCAGAATGAACAGTAATACCCTGAGCAGTAATACCTGACTTATGTAATTAATACTGACTATTTTAAAGCATTTCCTAGTGCAAAATTATTTGCTGTTGTTAAGTACTAATTGCAAGTGAGCAGTAGGAAAAAGTAAATAAAATTGAGTGACATTTGATTTGTATTTTTGAAATATATCTAGAAAATATCCAGAAATTCCACATCCATAAACTATTTCTTATTCTGAAAGTGTGCTGATATAGTTAGGGAAGTGTAAACTGGTTTCTTTAGGAAGTAAAGAGAATAATTTAATAAACAGCTAGAATGTGAGAGCTGAGGGTGCTGGCTGTAAGTAGGTTTGCCACCAAACTGCATGTCCTGATCATCAGACCTTGTGACTTGGGGTCTGTGCTGCAGGAGGTTGTAGGGATGCTTATCCCATGAGGGAAAAGCCCTCATCCCACACCTTAAGGAGTTAGAGCCTTGTATTCACAGAGCTGGTGTGAGCTTCTAATGTTAGAAGTGATGCTTGTCAAAAAACATGTGACTAGAACTCTCACGAGTGGTGTGGATGTGTCAGTCAGTCAAGATGGGTTTGTATCATTAGTGCCAGGTACTGGAAAAGCTTTGGCTTCCTTAAAAAATTAAAAAATTAAAAAATTAATGGAAAATTATTGTTAGAGGCAGTTGATTAAATCTTGGACCAGCGTAACTGAAGGTCTGTTGGGACCCAGTCTCCTCCTGTCCTGGCATATGCTGGGTTTGCAGCAGGAGTGGGTCAGAAGGAGCTGGGGTTTAGGGGGGTGTGTGTGTGTATATATAAATAGAGCCTGATTCTGTTAGACTCCTCTGTGGCTGTTGTCCCAAAATAGCAACAGTCAGAATGCCTCAGCTGGGTGGTGATCAGGGCTGTCCTTTTGGATGGGACAATCCTGGAGCCATTCTGTTCATGGTTGTTGGCCCTGCTTTCCCTCCAAAGGATGGGCCTGGGATGTGTGCTGGCCAGCACAGCAGGGTGGGACCTTGGCCTGTGCTGATGCTAGGGTTAACTGGGTTTGGTTCTTTACCTGTTCCCTGTGACATGTGTTCTCAGGACCCCTCTTCAGAGGAGCGTTTCCATGTGGAGCTGCATTTCAGCCCTGGCGTCAAGGGCTGCGAGGAGGACAGGAACATCCCCACGGGGTTTGGCTTTCGGCCAGCCTCAGCAGAGGTGAGCGGGCACCTGGGTAGAGCTGCCAGCCCCAGGGACACCTGGGCACTGTCCTGCTCTCTCTGGCCCTGCTGCAGAAGCTTCCTTACTGGCGGGGCACACAGGGAGCTGGCACGTTGTGTCTGTGTCCCCTCTGGGTGGCTGCTGGCACTGTGAGTGCCTCCCGAGCTTGGCATAGCAGGAGATCCAAGCTGGAGCTGGTGTGGGGCAGCATGGGCAAAGGCCACGTGTCTGTAGACACGAGTGGAGTGTTTCCTTGTGGCAGAACGAGGACAAGAAAGCAGACCAAGGCAGCCTAGAGGACCTGTCGAGTGCGAAGGGCAGCGATGAGCCAGACCGTGCTCGGCAGAAGTCCCCGCAGCCCGCGGAGCCCGTCAGCATCCAGCGAAGGTCACCGCTGGTCAGGAGCCGGAAAACGGGATCCATGGAGGTAACCACGCTCCTGGTGCCCCTCCTTGTTCTTGCAAAGGCCTTTGGCTTGGTTTTGGTTTCCTGGCATTTCTTTTAACATGCCAGAGTCTGAGTTGACTCTGGGAAAGGATCTGCAGGAGGCAAAGAGGGATGTTGTGGAAGGCAGGCCTCTGAAACTCCTCACAGGCCAGAGGAACTGATGAAGAAGAGCAAGTAAGGAAATGCTTGAGAAACACAACACAAGCATTATTTGGATTACATGCTCTCTAGAGGCACTGGTGTAGCCAGTATGAGATTACATGCAACCTCACCACCCAGCTATGATGACATCTTGCCTTCTGTTAGGCTCCAGTCTTTGTCTTTCACAAAGACAGCTCCATGTTTCACATTCCTCCATCCCATCTAAGATCTCATGCTGATCAGGGGTCCCTGCTCACTGGTGGATTCACCCAGGATGTTTAAGCCATCAGGGCTTAGAACTGTCCCATTCACTGATTTGGTGAAGTAGCAGAATTAATTTTACTGTTCTAACATCTCTCCTTCCTGGCTGTTCTGTGTCACAAGGCAAGTGTCACAGTCAGCAGGGGACTGTTACCTTCAGAGTGCTCTGGGATTGTCCCTCCTTTCAGAGGGATTTCACAGGCATTTTTGCCATCAGTTTTCTGAACCAGAAAACAGCAGAGTTAATACTAAGGTATTTGTTAGCTGTCTTCCACAAGCTTCTTGTTAAGCTGTATGTTTCTCACAATGTCACCTCTGAGTGCAGCACTTGGAGGCTCTTTGTGGTAGGCACATACTAAGTTAAAGGGCATATGATGTCCTGCTGCTAAAGAAGGAAGGCTGTGTCCCAGGAATCTCAGCAAGAGTCTTGGGAGAAAAGATGCTCACTACATGAGTCCCGTCATACTTTACAAATCTCCACTGTTCCACAATCCAACAAAATCTTGAAATTACAGTTGAGCATTCATTGTCACAATCCTAGCATATGACTACCTTTGTGCTTCTTGAAAGTGGTGATTTTAAAGAAGAGATATAAGTTTCTTCACCTTCAATTGATGTTTAAAGGCTTTTGATAGCAATGGCTAACTTGGAGCATGGTGCTGATTATTTACATGTGTCTTTGCAGGTGCTGTCTGAATCTTCTTCTAAATCAGGAGGTTATCGCCTCTTCAGCACTTATTCCAGGCAGTCTTCTGAGATGAAGCAAAGTGGATTAGGTACTGTACCTGACCTGTAACCAGCCTACTCGCTTGTAACTCTATTTCCATGGGCATTGGTCTGTGTCCCCACATACACATCTGGCTTGAGTTCCTTGTATGCCTCTGTGTGTTTCGTGTCTTCTCTCAGTGTTACTGTTGAGACCACTGGAGAGACTGTCTTAGTACCTTTTGTGTACAAACTTCTCCTTCAGCTGCTGGCAGCAGAAGATGGAATTTTCATCCTTTCCAGCAAAGGAGCAACAGGGCAAACTGCCTACCTGCAGGCTTGCCTCTGCTTCTCTGTTGCTCTCATTTGTTACATTTCTCAACCGAGTAGGAAGAGATGATTTTAGGTGAGAACTAGTGTGCTTTCTGTTCTGCAAAACATCAGTTTATATGCAAAGCCGTTCTTCGTGTGAGACTGCTCCGTTTCTACCTTTGCTTCATAAAGATCTGTTGTGTGGAACGGATGTGTCACATACAGAATGTCTGATAGCTCTCTAATCGAGCTGAACTCCTTGGTCAGCCATTCTTCTTGTGGTAGCAAGTGGAAGAGAATATTTCAGGGCATTTGACAATCTCTGTCCTTGATTGTTCCATTCCATGTCATGCTAACCTAAACTATGTCTGAACAGTTGAAATTCTTCCTGAATTATTTCTGCTAAAGCAGATCTATTTTGAAGCTGGAAAAGCTGTCTTTGCTGTCATGAGGTTCAGAGATGGCTGATGCAACCTGTGTCTTGAAAAGAGGAGGTGATAATGCCCAAGTCGTGCCCACTTTCTTTGTCTTTAAACCATCTTAGCGTTGTAGCGTGGCTGCAGACTTGCAGCAGTTCTGACTCATCACTCTTATATGGACTACCTGCAGCCAAGAGACTTCTGAAAGGCCTGCTCATTTCTTTGCCACTTTTGGATGAGCAGCTTCTTTGGAATTTAATTCTTACCAAGGAAAGAGAATTTTCTTCTGAGTGGTTAGAAGATACCCCTGGAGTCTGCCAGCTAATGCATCCAGCCAGCTGGAAAAAAATCTAAATAGGAATGGCTGATGTATATTATTTTCATAAAGGGACATTATCCTTGGCCATGGTAATTTTTGAATGTGTTATTTCACTTATCTCTGCCTTTCCCAGTGCCACTGCGAGATTCAGTGAGCTGTGACAAACTGCTGTGCTTAGGCTTGAAGAAACCTGTGGCTATTTTGTGAGTCCATATGGATGAGTATGGGAATTTCTGAAATGGCACAAGGAGGTGCATCTGCCTGGAGAATTACTGAGTACATCAAATGGTACTGCAGACTGGTTTTACTGTTTGAGTGTGCGACTGCCGGAAGGCCTGGGCTCTGGAAAGCAGATGTTATAACCCTTGGACTACAGCCTTTTGCAGGTTTTTGAGGAATGTCTGTTTTGGCAATAGAGAAGACCACTGCTTTTCTACACCTTTGTACAGTACTACTCTTCCTTCACAACAAAATCTGAAATATGATCCTGGCAGGTTCAGTTTCAGAATCTTGCTTCATGTGCCTTGCCGGGAAGCTTGTGCTGTTACTCCTTCACCTGTGAAGCTCTGCAGGGACAAAACCTTGAGTAGGAGTTGGTAGATCTGATCTGTGACAGAGACCTCCAGCCCAGCCATGGTTCTCCTCTGTGGAGTCTTGCAGGTACAGAAGGATTGAGGAGGAAGGACCTGCTGTACCACACCAGCTTGCACAACAGTTGGTGATGAGGATATCTGTGTTTCCGTGAGTTTTTTTTCACCTGAGGCCTGCTATGAAGAACCATGCCCCTTTACCTGTACAAGTCAAGCTCTTCAAGGAATCTTCCTGATTCCTTTCCTGCTTGTTTTTTGGAAATCTAGTTTCTTGCCACTTTAGGATTTGAAATGTGTTTTCTCTCTAAGAGATAATACGGAACTCTGGAAACTTGAACTTTGGCTTTAATACTTGTCTCAGCAGCTGGGGGGGGGTTATGAGGGGGGTTTATCCAGGCACTACCTGCTGTTTCTGAATTTTCTGAAGCTGAGCCTACTTCCTGTTGCCTGACCTTGTCAGTCAGTGCCTGGCTGTCATTATCTCTGGAAAATGGAATATCTGTCCTGGTGTAACCTCATATGTGTAGGCATGCGGGAGCAGAGAGCACGAGAGAGCTCCTACAATAGCTCTGCCCTGCTGCCATACCTTCCAGAATGGTGCCTCTACTGTAATTTAAAAAATTTAAGTCCTCCTTTGAAAATGGGTGGCTGCAGTTTGCTTTGTCTGTGCTTTGGAGTGTGACAGGTTTTTCTGGGCAGCATCAAGTGCACTGCTGTGGATTGTTTGCCATAGTGAATGTGCTTCTAGCTTGAAAAGCCTAGGGATGTTTCACTACCTTTCTTTGCTTACAAGAACCCTTCAAAATGGAATAAAATCACTGCTGGCTGTTTGAGCAGTAGAGGTGATGCACTGCCAGTGGCATGAAGCCTTGTGCTGAGATTCCCAGAGAGAAACCAAGAATGACTGTTTTTAAACATCTGACATACTGAATGAACATACGACAATTAAATGCACAGTAAATATCCAGCACGTACAGTAATTTCTAGCAAGTGTTGCTACATTTAAATCCAAATGGCCATTGTGTTCTTTAGGATGTGTGTGTGTGTCTGTGTGTGTGGTTACTTTGGGTACAGCGGTCTTCTGGAGTTCACTGTAGACAACTGCTGTTGTCCATAAAGTCATCTTTGTAAATTTTCTGGCATAATGCCTCTGTCTGCAGCAGGAGAGCAGAAGCACTGGGGTATCCTTAGCTTAGTCATTAACAGCACAAGGTTGCTCGAGATACACAGTCCTAAAAAGCTGATGTTCCATTTTTATCTGCCAGTAAATGAATCTGTTGGGTGGGTTTTGTTGTTGTTTGTTCTTAAACCATGGAAGAGCTATTAGAAGCATCATCCTGTCTGATGTATTACAAAATTTCACGTTCATTCCAACAGATTCCAGTTCATGCTGAGTCAGCACTTTGCAATCAATTTAAGGCATTAGGAGGAAATTTTCTAAGGTTTGTGTATCAGTGACGTTGCAGGCAAGAGTTCTTTTATGTTCAGGGGCATGTATGTGCTAGTCTGTGCTGTGGAAAGCCACCAGCAGTGTCACAGTGGGGAGCAGCTGCAGTTCAGTGCTACAAGGACCCTTTTGGTCACCCCAGGAGCAGACGTCCTCAACTCAGCCTGAGCTTATGCAAGAGCATTTTAATACTCAGAATCTCTGTGTTTTCTCCAAAGAAGCTCTGTCTTAAGGATCTTTGCAGAAACAGAGCTGGGGTCCCCAAGAGCAATGAGTGGATGTGAAGCAGCAGTGTGTCCTCACACCAGGGAAGGCTGAGGGCGTGCTAGGCTGCCTCAGCTGGAGTACAGCTGTCCAGCTGAGGGGTTTGGCTCTTCTGTCTGTTCACCTCTCATGAGTGCCTGAAGCTCTGCTGTCCTGCCCTGGGGTGTGGAGGGTGTGTGTGTCAGGACTGTGAGCCCACTGGAGGGCAGTGGAAATGGGTGGGAAGCCTGGAGCACATGGCGTTGGAGGAGAAACTGAGAGCCGTGCTTGTTCAGATTGGAACTTGTGGGGACTGGAGACCTTAATGCTCTTTCACCACCTCAATGGGAGGTTGCAGAGGGAGCAGAGACAGACTGTCCCCAAGGCCCTGTGGTGGTTGGTGGAGAACCAATGGACACAAGTTGCAGCACAAGAAGTTCCAATTAGCTAGGAGGAACAAATTTTTCACCCACCATGAATGTGCCAGATTTTAGAGCAAGGGGCCAGAGAGGTTGTGAAATTTACTTTCTTGGAGGTATTGACAACTTGATTGGACAAGCCTTAGCAATCTGATCTCAGTTGGTGTTCCTGGAGTGTTGGGAAAGAAGCTTCAGTCTTCTTCCAACCTAAATCATGCTATGATGCTTTATTTTAGAATCAAGAGCTGCTTCCAATGTAGGCAGGTTCTCTTTCACAGCAGTAACAGTTGCACTGTTCCGTGCTGCAGGTTTTTTGCTGTGGCAGACAAGGTGGAAGCAGATCAATCTGCTTGTTTCTGGAAGCCCTTTGTATGTAGGAGTAATGTTGGTTTGAGCAGTCAGTACAGAATACAGCAGCAAAACTGTTAGCAGAGAATTTACAGCCAGTCAGTGGCCGTGTCTGGTCCATATTAGGGTTTTGTCTCAACTCACAGTTGCTTTCCTCAGTCACTTGAAAGAATCCTCTTTCAAATGCCTGGTGTTACTGAATATCACACTAAGTCAAGTCAGTCCTCAGAGCACTGTGCCTTGGAGAAGCAAAGCCAAAGCCCCAGGAATGAGGTTGCCCTCCACCTTGCCTGCCATGTTCCTTGACAGTGGATAGTGAAGTTCCATGCTGTGTGCACGTCTGGTGCTTTGCAAGGCTCGTGGTGGGGTGATTGCTCTGTGCTGCAGCAGTGAGGCACGACGAGCTCGTGAGAGCAGGCCCTCTGGTCACAGTACTGTCCCTGCTTGTTTGACTGGAGATGGAGCCACAGATCAGACAGATCAGTTCTTTCCTCTCCTCAGTGTCCTACACAAAAAGGAGCTTTCCAAAGAGAAGGGGCAGAAGAGCAGAGCAATGAATCTCTGTGACATCAACATCAGTGGTTTGGCATCCTGTCTGTTCTGGCATCAGTGTGTTGCTTTGCTGATTGAAAGGGGTGAAGGTGTTTCTCCTAGGTCAGGGCAAGAAAGCCAAATGGAAGTAAACCCCTGGATGGAATTAGGAATTTTCCTGGTGCTGAGGTTTGGGCTACCTGCTCTGCTCTTGGCACTGTGGAGTTTAGAATGGAGAACACGGCCTCCCTGTGCTTCCAGGCATCATGGTTTTTTCTGAAATTGCTTGTGAAGTGGCCAGTTCATTCTTCATCCTTTGACTAACCCTGCTTTTCTGTAGTTGCATGCAGTGGATATGTGTTACTAACACCTTCCCTGCCTTTCCAGGGTCACAGTGCACCGGGCTGTTTAGCACCACTGTGCTGGGAGGCTCCTCCAGTGCCCCCAACCTCCAGGACTACGCACGCAGCCATGGCAAAAAGTTTGCCAGCAGCCTGACATACAAAGACGGTATGTGTGTTCCCTGGCAGCAGGGTGGTACTCTGTGGACACTGGTGTCTCAAGATGTGCCTGTGGCACAGACTCGGACTGCTGGAAACAGTGACACTTGAATGTGTGCATTCACCACATCTACAATGATCAATTTTACCATGTCCTTGCTAGGACAGAAGGGACCTGACATTGTGAGAGGAGTTTTAGGCTTATGTGTATTGCTGGGGTCTGATTTTGGTCTGATGTTTTAATAGTACTTGGCTGTTGGGAAGGGGAATTTATTGGTCCAGATATTAAATCGGTTTGTCCTGGTAGGGAAATCCAGCAGATCACATCATCTTGCTTACCTTGGTCATCTTGCCGATGCTAAAATGAAGCTCTTTTTGGGGCAGTAATCCTTGCCCCATGGAAGGTGGAGCCATCCCAAAGACAGGATGATATGTGTGGGCGTGGATAAGATGGGCACTAGAGAGAGGCTGAGCGTGTGGCAGAGTCTGAGGTAGCTCTCAGGAGGCAAGGCAATATGCCTGAAAGGCTTGAGGTAAGTGAGTTGCTTGCAGGAAGTACTGCAGATGAAGTACTGGAAAGTCAGGTTTCTGTGCAGCTGTGCAAAAACTGCCGGGAAGGTTGGCAAGACAGTCTGGTGAAGGCATTGGGGCCAAGGCTACAAATGCTCTGTGCCCATGGGTGCAGGTGCTGCAGCTGCACCCTCACTGCCAGCAACACTTGGTGCAATGTGCACGGAGCAGCAGAGGGTTGTTATTTGCAAGGAACGTGGGGCACAGGGACAGACTGAGCTGTTCTGGAGCAGCTGGAGGCTGTAATGCGCAAGTGCAAGTGTCCACTGTGGCCCTGATAGGAAAGACACTCACTCAAACTCTTCAGTACTGATTCATATACCATACTGGGGCACTGATTTGAGGAGCTCCGTGGGCAGGGTCTGCACAGCATACTCTGACAAGGTTGGAAATCCACCTAAGGTTTCCCAGCATTTGAGTGGATGGATGTAAGGTTGTCTGTCTTGGATGTCTTATCTTTTTGGTATTTTAATCAATGCAGAATCTGAGTGCCTTTTTTATTGGGATTGTAAGGAACGTTAACACTGCTGGATTTCAAAGTGGGAAGAGGATTAAGGGAGTAGCTTGGAAAAGACAGGAGGTTGGTTCATCTGGACTTCTGTCCAGTTTTGAGGCAAGGAAAATGGCCTAGCAAATCAGGATGGAAAGATGTTGTCCAATTCTCAGCCCTGTTGGAACTCTGTAGGTGCCACTATGTACACTAGCTGCCTGTGCTGCTTTTCTTGTATAAGAGAAAGCCACGCTGGTTCTCACCTCCTCAGGGCACTCCCAGGCACACAGTGGGCTGTGAATGATGCTGGCAGGGAGGGTGGGATGGGAGTGTTCTCAACCCCAGTGTACCAGCCTGAGCTGCCCCGGGCAGCAAGTACTGGCTACTCACAGGTTGCAGAATAAGCTGATGGTGTTTGGCACAAAACCAGAAGGTGAGTCACAGTGGAGCCTCTGAAAAGGCAGCAAAGGCCCTGCTGGCTGTTCTTTCCTGACTCTGCAAGGAATGGGAGCCCAAGGCAGCACTGATTCTCAGGGAAAAGCATCAGAGACTGATGCTCAGTCCTGGTGCTGGGCTGCCTGCCTCTGTAGGCTGTGTAGCAGGATGTACCTGCAGCAGGCTACAGGCATTTGAGGCCATGGACTCCTGCTAAGCCTAAATTCAGTGACAAGGTCTCTGTGTGCTGAGATGCAATTGTACCCTCAAGTACCTAAAATGTGGACTTAGTTGACTAGCATGTGTCTAACACAGCTCAGAAGTATAAATCTTGATGTTATACTTCTGTTTTCATGTTCCTTGGCATGCCCTGAGACCCTGTGCTGTCAGTGCCTTGCTGCAGTAAGGGCATTTGGAGGGAAGGTGTCGGGGGCTTGGGAAAACAAGGACATTTTGCTTCTGGGGAAAGCAGTTTGGAATGTGAAATGAGCCCTTGATCTGCATGTTTCCACTTAAATGAGCACTAGTGCAATGCTGAACAGTGGCATCGAATCCAAACATCACTACACGTGGTTGCAATCAGTGGCACTGCAGCTACAGCAGACTCTTGCAGAACAGTTTGTTCCACACTCTTTAGACTAATGGTGTTGAAAAGCAGCACATTTTTGCATGAGCTCCTTGGTAGTTTTTCATGGCTGTGATGCTTCAAGCACTTCACCACTGTTAACTTGCCTTGTTCCAGGGATGTTTCAAGGGCCCTTATTTCTGAAGGTTTTTATGCTTGGGGCTGGAGGGGGCTAAGGAATACTTCAGCAGAAAGTTTTCTGAACCTCAAGCTGAGGGAAGGTCCATAGATGGTTGTGATTTCAAGTTGGCTTGCCTGAAGCCAGGGATCTAGTAAACTGGGTCAGTGCCATTTCAGCTGATGTGCCCACAGGGCAAGGGGAGGTGTGGGTCAGCTGGAGACTGTCATCAGCAGACTGCAGCTCCAAGGGATTGCATGTGTAGGGAAGGTTGTCATGCTGTTTGAGTTTAAAGAAAGAAAACCAATTTTTAGTGCTGGTACACTAGAGGAGGAAGTTCCAGTGAGAGTTGGTTTTAGATGCATTATTTGGCCAAGCCACTGCATGTAGCTGTAGGAGCACATTGGGAGTATGGAGCATGCATTGGTGCACTGGTGAGGGGGATAGGCATACAGACCCTGTGTGCTAGGGAGAATGGATGCATGAAACATGAAAGAGAAATAAAAGGGTTTTCTACTATTTCCTGAAAGACCCCCAATAGCAGCAAAAGGTGTGATTGGCTGGGGTCTCACATCAAATCCCACATATGGATGGTCTGATCCAGGCCATTCTTTTTCATGGTAGCTGAGGATTTCCAGTGTGGGAAAAAAAACAAAGTTTCCAGCCTTTTTTTTTTTTTTTTTTTTTGTGTGTGTGTGCATGTGGAGCCTAATCCATGTCCTTTAAAGCCTATCTGTTTGCATCCCATTAGATGCACAGTGTCTGTCCTTGCACGGTCTTTCTGATACGTGATTTGTATGGGAGAGCTTGGCCTGGCCTGGGGCATGGCCAGGAGAAGCCTGAGGACCACTCTGACAGGTGTATCCCAAAACTTCCCCTGAAATATTTTGAGCAGGGAACTGTAGAGGCATGTCTTCATGGGTCTTTTCCTTCTTCCTTACTCAGGTGATCTGTCCTTAAATTCATAAATAGCTCTGTATAGCTTGCATTAAGAGATTGTTTTGAGCTGTGCTTTGCTGGAACTCCTTAGCACCTCTGCAGGGAAGTGTTGGTTTTCCTTGGGCAGAGGTAAATCCTGGGAGCAGTCCTGTGGTGCTGCTGCTTGCTGGGACGTGTGCTCTGGTGGCTGCAGCACGGCCTGGCTGCATTCTGCAGGGAGCCTGGTGTGCTGGAAGGTGTGAGTTGCTGACTGAGAGGATGGAGAGCGTGGCTGAGTGTGTCATGTCAGGGCAGCCCGGGCAGGGCGGTGCAAGGGCTGGGGAGATGCAGAAGGGTTCAGCCACAGGCAGAGTGTCGGGTGCCACAGCAGTGCCGCTGGGAGCAGCTGTTGTGGGCATCAGGAAGGTGAACCTGAAAGCCTAATCAAGTGTATGAAGGTCGGGGGATCCTTTGAAGCAGGCTGTTAACTGAGATGATCTGTTTTTATTTCCTCAGAGCTCTTGTCTATGCCAGCCGTAAAACGATTTTCTGTGTCGTTTGCAAAGCATCCGACTAATGGTATGTTTGCTTTCTGGATTTGATGTTCCCTCACACTTCTAACCCCATGCTCACGTTCAGTTTTCTCTGCACATGTTCTCCTCTCAGCCTTCTTGTGGTTTTTTTTGTGTTTGTGTATCTGATGTCCAAACACGCTTCACCTTCTCCATTGTCTCCTTGTGACTAATGTGCTCACTCATACCCTGGTACTGCGCAGTGGTGCCTCTGCTCTCCCTGAGGTGTTTGTGTCCCAGGTGAAGAGGCAGAAGGCTCTGTGAGTGTGCTGCTAAAGCAGCCTTTAACTCTGCAGTGACATTGAGGCCTTTTGTCATGCTCCTTGTTGGGAGGGTGGGGATCAGGGGGAGAATACTGCTGGATTGGGGGCTGATGCCCATCCCATGTCATGAAGCATCAGCAGCTTAGGTCCTCAGTTTCTACACTGCAGATTTGCTGGATGAAAACAAGAATAACACTAGGACAGCTGTGTGTCACCTGGAAGGGCCCAGTGTATGGTGGGACAGGCGAAGTGCACCTGGTGTATCATGTCAGGAGTACTGGTAGCCTTTTGGCCTCCTGTTGTGAAACCTCTCTGTTAGGCTGGTCTAGTGGTCCTCCGAGCACGGTGATGTTGGCACAGGTGGGCTCACCTTTTCTGCAGACGTTACCCTGTGGATTGTGCCTCTCCAGAGCTCTTACTCGTCTGTGTTGGTGGATGGTGCTGGCTTGGGGGCAGGGGATGGGCATCGTGCTGCCTGGGGTGGCATCACCTGCATCATCCCGTCCTGCCTGTATCTCTGGAAAGGCTTGGTGACAGATGTCTGACAGAGCTTCTGCTACTTCACTATCTCTCTGCTCCATGTTGCTACTTGCCTGACAACCAAAGTGTGAGTCTGTGAGGTTATAGGCCACTAGCTCTGTTGTAGCAGGTGCCTTGAACCAGTGTTTACTCTCCAGATACTTTTAAAAAGGTTTCACAGCACCCCTCCTCTTGCATGGCTCCTGCTGCTGAGACAAGTTGGAACCAAAGGAGATCACTGAACGCTACCAAGTATTTCTGCCTGATGCCATCAAGGCAGCTTGCAAATACGAAGACATCCTGCTTGGTGTAATCTGGAAGATGAATGAAATTCAGAAGACTGTTCTGAAAATGAAAGTTTTGGGAAGGATGAAATGGGAAAGGACAGGTCACTGTGGCTTTACTCTTTCAAATAACTAGAGGGAGCTTATTCTCTGTGTTTGCTTGGCTTTGGTTTTCCCAGAGTGGCCAACTGCTTGGTTTGTCTGTATGTCTGGGCAGTATTGGAGCTCACATGGTGTATGTCAGCAGGGTGTGTTGTTCTATCTTTCCTGCAAGGTTGTACCAAGTTCCAGCCTTTTGTAAGACACGCTGTAAAGCAGTTGCCCCTGCTCCAAATACGATCGGATGAAACCGGGCATCATGTTTCTCCCAAAACCCCAACTGGTATTTCTGATGGCAAAGTGCTTCTTAATCAAGAAAACAAAGACAGGGGTCCAGCAGGTGAGAGCTCAAAGTCAGGGATATTTGGTCTAGGATTGGCACTGCTTTGAGCAGGAGGGATGTTTACCCCATGAACCACTTAACTGAATGCAAAAAGTGTTCCCAGCTCTGAGTCTGGATTTTGTTTCTGGAGAGCTGCCTCTGTGTGGTGAAGTGGAATGGGTAAACCAGGGTAGTGGCCAAGCACAACATCAGGCCAGATGGTTTATGCCCTGGTCGCACAAGCCTTGGGTGGGTGACGCGAGTCCTGAGGCAGTGTATAGGGAGAAGACATGCCTGCATGCTGGTATCTTGTCTGCCATGCAAGGATGTCACAGAAGATTGCACAGGGCTGTTCTCAAAGACAGGAAAGTCAGTGCTTCTGGGCTCCCTCTGTTCTGCACTCTCAGCACTTTGCTCTCAGTCAGACCCTGCTGTCCCCGAAGTCCCTTGCACGGCCTCTGCTCGTTTGACGCTGGGCCATTTGCTCTCTCCCCGTGCTGATGTGCCTGGCTGCGCTTGGGTGCAGGACTCAGACACTGTTGGCAGTCTTGGCACTGCTGGATTTCTCATCTGAGCTGCTGAAGGGCAAGTCTGGCCCTGAGCCTGATCCTTTTATTTAGCCAAACCTGAACTGCATTGGACTTGGAATGTGTCCTGAAATTTATTCACTTGTCAGACTTACCTTTACAAAGATGAGCCCCTGCTGCTCAGGCAGTGCCCTGTGCTGCAGCTGGGTGAAGCCTGGGCTGGGTGGGAGTCTGGTCTGCCCTGGTGTCACTGGGGGGACATAACTCTCAAGGGTATTCCTGACCTGCTCGCTGTGGGAGGGATTGTGCTGAATGTGTGGCGTGTATCCTTCTCACCCAGCAGCCCTGGTGCTGGCAGCTCCATCCCCACATCGCCGCAGTTGCTCTGTCCCCCAGCTGTACCTGCCCCTCTCCTCTCACTCTCTATGGCCCCTTTCCTCCAGATGTGTTGGAGCACCAGCACGTTGCCCAGTTGCTACGCCGTTTTTCCTCTGACTGTGCCACGAGCCGGACCATCTCCTTGGATGCCACCCTAGCCCATCACCTGCAGCAGTGCTCCTACCACCTGCGCCTCTTCAGGAGCTGGCTGATCTCAGGGCAGGATGACTTGGAGTGTCTTTACGGTACTGCACGCTGCAGCTGCCTCTGTCCCGTGCTCTTGTAGCTGAGCAGGGACCACTGTCTGCTTGAGAGTGCAAAGTATGCTTTGCTTCTGAAGAAGGGAGGTGTTTCCCTCACCGTATCCTGAGGGTCTCTGGGCTGCTGCTGCAGCAAGCTGTGTGGGCTGTTGTACCAGCAGTTTTGGAGCCTTAGGCAGGAGCCTTACCACACGGAGCCTCCGCTCCCCATGTGGCTGTAACTGCTCTTTCCATCTTTGGCAATTGTTTGTTGCCTCCTTCCTTTAGCCAGGGTAAGCCCTTAAGCTCCCTTCAGGGTAGATGCTGAGCTGCTGTCCATGGAATGCCCTGCTGGCAGGATGCTCTGTGCAGGTCTTGGTGAGCTGCCGCAGAGTGTCCCCGTAGGAACAGAGGAACCAAAGTGAGCAGTGAGAGTATAGGAAGGGATTAAGGAGGTGCTGCAGCTGGTCACAAGCTGAGTGGACTTGCTGTGGAAATCTTGGGGAAGTGAGAGCTTGTGGGTGTGCTGTATCTAGAGAGACTGAGTTAAGTTAGGGTAGAGCTGAGCTTTTGTGTGGCTGCACTGCATGGCGTCTTTTCTGCCTGATAGGGCCTCTCAGTGTGTCCTGTCTCTGGTGGGAAGAGGTAGGCAACTTCAGCATTGAATCCAGATGTTACAAATCAAAGCTTGCTGCTGTTTCTCTGGTGTTTTTCAGCCTCTGTCACAGACGGGAAGTCTGGTGCATGGAGGCCTTGGTGCTTCTCACACAGGCAGAAAGCCTGCTGCTCCCTGAGCGCGGCAGCGAGCTGGGGCTGGCTGCTGAGGTTCACTGGCACCATAGGAGCTGCTCGGAGCATGTGGCTTGCTGAGCTGTGTGGTGTGATGCATGGACCCCCTTTTCCATTCTGACCCACAGGTGGAAAGGGCACAGACAGTGCAGCCTTCCTTGTAGTGAAGCAGCAGGACCAAGCATTTTCACACCCTGGAAGATGAGAATTTTTCTTAAGTCTGATTTTCCTTGATATGGCCCTTTCTGTCAAGCAGACAGATTTGGAGACGGTTAGTTGCTTTTCACATGTAATTAGGACAATTCCGTGGTCTCCTGGCAACAAATGCTAAAGAGGAGCAGAATTGCTTTAAGGGAAGAGATGCTGGATCACAGCAGACTGCTCCAGAGCCAGGGCTGCGCTTTCCCTGCTGCAAGTCTTGGCCCTGTTTGTGATCTCGGGTGGGGAGAGGAAATGAGCTCAGTGCTTTGGACACTGCAGGCTGCTGGGAGGTGCATCCTGCCCAGCACAGCCAAACACAGGCATTAGGGGCTCCATACCTAACTCCTTACCAGCACCACAGCCCTCCCAGCTGCAAATCAAATATCCACCATCAAATTCATTCTGTTTTCCCAGTCCACCAGCAAGCCCACAGTTCACTGATGTGTTTGGGATTCCTGCTGAGGCTCTTCTCAGAACAGACATGGTTGACAGCCCAGGTTTCTTCCTTGTGAAAACTGCATTCTTCTGTCCTCTCTTGGCTTTCCACTGTACTTCTATCCATACAAAGGAAACATGAATTAGAAGATAGAATCACTGAGTCAAAAGTATGCAGTTGGCATCCACAGTTGGAAAGATCAACAGTGGAGCCCTGAAGGAATGTCTGGGAACCTGTGTGGTCATATCTGGGAAAAAGAAACGTGTGAAGTTCATATTGGCAATGAATCACACTGGTGATTCATTATTGGTGATTCATTCAAAGCCAGAGGTCAGCTGTGGACAGAGAGCAGCCCTGTGATGATGAGCAGGAAAGTAGAGGTGATGTCCAGTGTAAATGAATTTAAATGACAAAGGGAAACAGCCCCAAACTCTTATATATTAAACAGTGGGCTCTGATATGACCATCATTACTTGAGACAATGTGGAAAAGGTAGAAATTTGCAAAGTTAGAAATCTGGGAAGGATGTTTGTAGTAGTGGTCTAAGTGGCCTGAGGGAAGGGGTGTGGATTCACAGTTTTGTTTAGGTCCAGGAGCAAGAAGATTTCTAATGGAGTGAGTTGAGACACTGGACAGAAGTGGGTTTTTTCCAAGCTCTGTACCACAGTACCTGGGGATGTTGGGAGCTTGACTGAGTTCAAGGGGAAACAAGAGTATGGAAGAGACAGATGATGTCCATAGCAATTCTGAGCTGTGGGTCACTGATGTTTGGGGCACGTGACTAGACAGTCACACATGCTGTCTAGGCTCCTAACTCCGCATATACAACATACATGTGGCATGTTGGAGTTTGTCAGAAAAATAGGGGTGGATTGATGATGCATGTCAGAGAGGAGCCTGGTGAGTGCTTTTGTTCGTGCTGGGACTGGACAAGTGCTTCTTCACTCCAGAAGAGCTGGCATGCAGAACACTGGCACACAGAACTTCCTCTGTGGGCTGCTGTTGGATGTTGGTACCAAATAGAATTCTGTCCAGTTTCTCATGCCATAGCCTGTATCACAGACTCCTGCCCTTCAGGCCCCAGGAAAGAGTTTGGGGGAGCATCAGCAGTGGCTGCACAGTCAGCACAGGGTAACTGTCAGGCAAGGATGGTTCCTGTGGCTTGCTGTCACATTTTATTTTTCTTGCGCCTTCCCAAAGGTGTTGGTTCTTTGCTGGCTGTGTGTGGTGCAGCAGTGGTTGGAGCCTTCACTGGAGGCACACAGAGATTGTGATCCATAGTGGTAGCTGCTGCCTGAGCTGTGCTGTGCTGGCATGAGCCACTGCTGGCCTCTTCCCCAGCAGCCCAGCAGGTCTAGGGAGGTGTGCAGGCAAGTGGGGTCCCATACACAAATGAAAAGGATTCCTTGAACACAGTACTCCTCCACCTTGAGAGAGGAAACTTTGGCCGTTTTGCTCTGCTTGCTCAAGAGTGGTGCAGTGCCACAGCGCTCTGCAGAGCTGCATGAGCAGGCACCTGGCACTTTGGGGATGCAGGTATATGATTTCACATCAGCTGTGTGTCACTGTCTAATTTTTCTTTTCATGCTGGACCTTTGATTTGCTCATCTTACTAGAGGGAAGCCCAAGAACTCAGATCCCCATTGGTGCCCCTACTGTATCTTGTAACACTGCTTTGCCCTATCTTATATTTAAACTTCCTTTTTTCTTTGGAGACCCCAGTTCCTGAGCAAACTTTGGCCCCTCTCAAACCAGATTCTGTTGTGAAATGACATTAGCCTCAAACTGGGCTGCTCCACAACTATGTCCCGTGACCATTTTAAGTTTTGCCCTCACCTTTTTCGTTTAGCTCTGTCTCCCAGGAGGCCTCTGAGAAAATAAAGAACGTACATTCTTCCTTCCTCAGCACTTCCACTCTCAGGACTTCTTAGCAGCAGACACAAGAATGTGGTCTTTTTCCTGTGTCTTGTGTTTCTTCATCCTGGCTGAGGATTTGTTATCCTTTCTGTCTTGAATTATGTTTTTAGGCCCTTTGTGGCATAGGTAACCTCGTGAACTCTCTGGAGGATTCTTTATCTCCACCAACTGTTATTTATTCAGTGAACACCTTCATGGCTTGTGCTCCTTCCTCTTGCAGACCTGGGTTTGGTGAGGGTATTGGAGCAGAGCCTGTCCTGGAGGTGACTGGAACAACTGTCTGCAGTACACAAACAGATGCTCCAGGGCTTCTCCTGAGGTGCTGCCAAGCTGCAGGAGTCAGTTTTATCCTGTTGGTGTGCTGGGCAGACATCCTGCCACAGATTGCATCAAGAACTCTCTTATTTTTTGCATTTGAAAGTATTTTTCCTTTTCTGTAGAAACAAACACAGTTTCTTTGCAGAGTCTTTTTGAGGTCCTTGGAGGAGACTGGGGGGTCACAGAATGGGAGGCCCAGCCCTGAGGAGTTGAGAGGCCATTAAATTTGAGAGGTGCAGAGCAGGGGGCAGCCTCATTCCATATACCCAGGGACTCACCTGTTTCTTCCTTGCTCCTCTGACAGTTCAGGTTGGCTTGGTTCCACAAGGCATTTACAGGAAGCTGGGATGAAGAGGAAGACGCTTTGCTGTGATACTCTGCTGGCTTGAGCAGCAAAGGATTTATTCTGAATGGTTGTGATGCAGCTTAGCTTTGAGGAAGTGTCTATTACACGCTGAGATGCCTCTTTATGCTCATTCTGGGATTGCTGGCAGTGAAGTCTAGTTAAAGGGACAAATAATTGAAGTCATTACCCAGCCCTTCCTGTGGACACAGCCTGTTGGGGTGCATGGGGGGCTGCTGTGACAGGGAGGTTCTGTGGCTCCTTGTGGCTGCTGCAGTGTGTGCTCCCTGCTGTGGGGAGAGGGGGTCACCAGCAGTGGGACCTCTTTAATGGAAATTCTGTTGGCACCACTTCGATTCTGTTTGGCTTCCGTAGGAGGGGGCACTGTGCCAAGCTCTGTGCCAAGTTCTCTGTCATTGCTGTGTATTTTAAGTGTCCCAGGCTCAGCAGCAAAAATGGCAGCTGCCAGATACTTTTCCTCCTCTCCCCTCCATGTGTATCCAGGTGCTTGCTTTCAGATCTGTTACTGCATGGGATTGCTTCGTGGTGATTTCCTTGGGTTAGAAGAGATGACCTGAGGCCTGAGTGTGCCTGTTGTTTGATTCTGTGCCCAGAGTGCCCAGCTTCCTTCAGCCATGAGTGCTCCTGCATGGATTTTCCCTGCTGTTTCCTCTATTCATTTTCTGCTTGGGTCTCTTTCCAGGTTTTGAAGGCTGTTCCATGGTTCCCACCATCTATCCCCTGGAGACCCTGCACAACTCCCTCTCTTTGCGGCAGGTCAACGAGTTCCTGACAGCCGTGTGCAGGAGCTGCAGCGAGTCGCATGTCCAGTCCACCGCAGGTACTGCTCAGGTGGGCTTGTCTCTGGCAGGGCAAGGAGCACTCCTGCTCTTTCACATTCTTGGGACAGATCTGCCTGACAGGACTGGAGAGAAGTGCAGTCCCTAGAGCCTGTCCCAGAATGTTCTAGCCCAGGAATGTGCCATGGGGCCCAGCTCAGAGCCATCCTAGGCCACTTATGTGACAAATAATCAGTCAGGTCTGTCTGTAGCTGCTGAGTTTGGTGATGAGGATACTGACTCCAGCTCTGGAAATCTTAGCCTCAGATTCCCAGGAGTTGATGGGCGGGCATGGCTCTGAGTTGGCACTGGTCTTTAGCTCTTCCCAGAGCACCTGCTCATGACTGCTGGGCTATGAGCCATTCCTTTATGTCTGTTGGAATATTACTGATCTGTGTATTTTTTTCTCGAAGCTTTGTTTGATTCAATGATTGGGAGCCAGATACCAGGAGACCCCTTTATGTCCCAGCGAATCCTGTCGTCATCGTCCCTGCCACTGCGCCAGCGTTCGGATAAGCCCCCTTGGTGTGAGTGTGCTCTGCTCTCAGTCTGGGGAAAATGTAATGGGCAGGGAGGGAACTTTATGAAGTCAGCAAGGTCAGGAAACCAGTCTGGCCGAAAACAATTGTTTAGTTCTCCTCCTTTATTGGATTAGATACAATCTAGGTATTGCTCTAATTTTGCTTATTGTGCAATATAAAGCAAGAATAAGCATTAGTAGAGAATCAATATTTCTGTCTCTAGTGTTGACTCTCACTCAACACGCAGGGACTGTGTCTGTCAGGAACCAGGAGGAGCAAACTGAAGCTGGGATTGTTCCATAATAGTAAGGGAATGAAATATATTGATTTTCATTTTGAAGTGAAACATCACGCTTCACATTTTGCACTGTGACAACAGAATCCACTCTTGGCTGTGTGCCAGTATAGCACTGGATTACAAGGTAGAATTGTACTCTGTGTGCTTGGGTTTTCATCAGCTGAGCTGTCAGAAATACCCAAGACCAGCTGTAAGCTCCTGACAGGTCACACAGCATATAGACAGCCCTCACCTCTTGGTTGCAGAACTGTGGGACTGGGACTGTTCAGGTGGGAAAATACCAGCTGCAGGTTTTAAGATTTTTCTTCCTCTTTGCAGACAGCAGTGGCCCCTCCAGTACCGTCTCCAGTGCAGGCCCGTCCTCCCCAACTTCTGTGGACAACTGTGCTCGTTTCAGCTTCACTGAGAAACTTTCCATCAGCCCCCCAAAAAGTGAGGAGCAGCTGACTAGCCAGTCCCCTGAGCAGGAAGAGAGTCAAGCTCCACGCAGAGGGCTTGACATGCAGGAGGGCTTGTCTGGGCTGTCAGTAGCAGAGCCAAGTGCCCCAGAGACCCTGATCTGGAATAAGGGCCCAGAGCCAGGCAGGATTCTGGAGCTGTGCAAGAAGGAGCTGGCAGGGGAGGATGCTGACCCAGAAGAGAAGAACATGGGGGAGCCGGATGAAGAAAAATCATCTGTGGAAATGTTAGAGCCAAGTAACATAGGAAACCCAAAGTGTGAAGGGTTTGACCTGAGGCTGGTTGGGGAGACAGTGAAGCCAGGTGAGGGGTCTGTCAGGGGAATGACTGGCCTGGATCAGTCGGGACTGTCCAAGGAGATCCTGGTGCCCTGTGAAGAGGAGCTGCTGGGAGAGGTGTTGGACCCAGAGCATACAGGCAAGGAGCTGCCGGGGGACAGCGCTCTGTCAGACCAGCTTCTCTCTGGTCACCTGTGCCAGGTGCAGCCACTGTCTCCTGAGAAGAATGTGGAGGAACTGCAGCTGCTGTGTCAGAAGGATCAGCAAATTTAGTGGCTTACTGGACAGCACACTGGAAGCACTTCTAAGCCCAAAAGCAGCCCGGCCTCCTGCATGGCACCTCACGCAGCTGGAGGTCCGTAGCAGAGAAGAAGCCACTTCCCAGGGCCTCAGGACTCTGTGGTGTGGAAGAGATTGCTTTGCTCCTCCACAAGCCAGCTCTTTGCCATTCAGCAAGAATGTTTGCCTCATTAAATGAACAACAATGCAGTCATGGTACTGGCATGGCACCTCCATGGAGCAGGGACATGGTGCCGCACTGGTGTCCCAAGGGCTTTGTGCTCACTGGGACAGCAGCATTAGAGGACTGGTACAGCCAAGGCTTTTAGGGTGGTAAGTCCAAAGGGGACAGATCCTCCCTGGTGACCTTTTGGCCCACAGCCTTCAGAAAAAGGCATTCTGGGCCCAAATTAATCGGATCCATCACAACCACCAACCTCCTCTCTGTTTCTTCCTTCTTCCTGTCTCAATTCCCATTGTTGGCCACCAAAATCAGGTCCAGAGAGTCCATGGTAGGAAAACTAGCAGAAGCAGAAAGCATTCTGAATGAATGTGGAAAAGAAGGGTAGTGAGGGCATCAGGTTTGACTGCCACTTGCAAGGAAACATCCCTTTGCCATGGCCTTGGATGTTTCCCTGCTGGGCTGGGGCAGGCAGGAGCCTGTGGATCCAGCCTGAGAGAGGTGTGCAGGGAAGACACAGTTGTTTTTTTTTTCTCATCCCCAAGGATCAGGCAGGGTACAGCTCTGAGGTCTTGGTGACAGGGATTAAAAGAAACCGCTATTTTGATAATTCAGGACTATTAGAAACCAATAAGGAGAAATCTTTATTATATAAAATGAAAAGTATTTAATGGATATTTATGTAAATGCCTTGTGAGCACAAGCCTGAGGGCGAGATTGATACGGGTGTCCCTGCCGCATCCTGAGTGCCGGCCGGGGCTGTGCTTCCCACTCCTCCTGTATTTATGGACAAGTCTGCGTGTCTGTCTGTAGCTAGGATCTGTGTTTTTGTGAAGCTGTGCCCAAAGATCTCTATGCTGTGTTGTGACAATGTGTGTTCACAGTAAATCTATGCTGTGGGTCCAGTGTCTCTCTGTCTCTGGTGCTGACTTGGCAGCAGTGTGTATGTGCCAAAGCTTGCAGGTGCTTGGAACAGCAAGCCCTGCTCATGCTCTGTTGTCCTGGAAGAGCAGCTGTAGCTGGAGTCAGACCTGTAGTAAAAGCACAGGCTCCAGGCCAGGGAAAAAAGCCTCCTTTTTCCTACATAGGAGAACTGGTCATACTGGGGAAGAGCTTCTGGCTTCCCAGGTCTCAGGGGTGTTTGTGGTAGAATGAAGACCCTGGAATGCACCATTCACCTGGTCCACACCTTCCCGTCACTTAAAGCACATCCTGGGTGTCATGTCCTTTTCCTCATGCCCAGTAATCCCAAGCTGCCACTTCGGGCATGTAGGAAAGGTCGTGTTTACTTGCACAGAGAATGGAGCAGTCATGCAGCTGCCCGGAGTGCAGCACTGGGTGAGGGCACCCCAGCCCCCTCCCAGCTTGCTGTGCCTGCCCTGCGCTCTCTGTCCCTGCCTTCAGATCTGCACACAGGTGACTGAGCAGCATCCATGAGATTTCCCCTTGGCACTGCCCACGGCCCTTGCCCTGCTCCCTTGCACAGACAGTGGCCTGTGGCACTGCTGCCACCAGCACTGCTCTGGCAGCCACGTCCCTGCTGAGCACCAGCCACATCTCCTGCCAGGACCTGTGTGCTCCTGTCCGGGGACAGTGCCTGGGCAGGGTGGTTGCCACGATGGACCCAGCAGCACCTGCTGCAGGGGTCAGTGCTGAGAGGGGCATGGAGCAGGGCCCCGTGGGCTGGGGCTGTGGCTCTCAGCTGCTGATCCCGCAGAGCCTGAGGCTGTCCTGCACACCTTTGGGAAATGCACTGCAGTCACAGGACCTTGCTTAGCTGGAGTATGACCAGAGACAGTGCTCCTTTACCTGAAAAGTGGCTGTGTGTGGAAATAGTTCCTGCTTTATGGTAACAGTTCATGGTTCCTCCCATCAGCACCAGGTTTGGCAGCTGCCCTGAGGTCTCCACCAGGGCCTGCACAAGCTGTGGTGTGTTCTGGGGCAATGATGGCCTCTCTCCTGAGGACTGTAGCACAGAACCTGCTTTCTTTTTTCCTGGCATCCACCTGTGCCATTGTTTCCTTCTGAGGACAGGCAGGCAGGAACAGAACTAACTGGGCGTCAGCCTCTCCTGACTGTGTTCCAGCACAGGCAGAGCAGCAGCTGTCCCAGTTTTCTAAAAACTGAAAGAGAATTCTCTTGCTGGAGGTCAGGTTGAAGTTCTGCAGAGGTGCAAAAGCCCACTGCTGCAGTGGGGTCAGGCATGGAGTCCCTGGCATGCCTGCACCCAGGTCCCACGCCAGCAGGTGTGCTGCCTGCCAGAGGGCCAGAGACCCCGCAGCTCAGAGTGCCAGCAGCACTGGGCAGAGTTGCCATTCCCAAGAAGTGCAGGGACAGGCAGAGGGCTGCAATGGAATGCATGATTCTGGAACTGTAAGGAGTGATGGTGTTGCACGGCAGACAGGCCACGCCAGGCTCCTCACTGGATTATCAGGAGCTGCTTTCCCCCCACAGCCCTTAGCCAGCTGTCCCAGATGTTCCCCAGGAGGGACCCACGAGCTGCCCTGCTAAGGCCAGGGGCAGGGGGCTGTCCCAGGCAGGCTCTGGCCTTATGTGAGTGTCCCTTTCTGAGTCACAGCAAAGTTCAGCAGCTGCTGGTGAAGGTGGGGTGTTGGTGGAAAAGCTGGGGCTCGCCTAAGCTGGGAGGCGTGGGAGGGTGGCACAGCAGCTGTCTGTGTGCTCCTGCCTGCAAGCGTGGGCTCACTGAAAGAACAGCTGGAAACCACTGGAGATGTTCTTGTTCGCAATTAATGTGGCTTTATTATTAATGTGTTGGGCTCCTCTCTTGACAGCAGTTAGTTACAGTGTTTCACATGGAAATGGGCAAAAGGACAGAACTCAAGGAACTAAATTCAAATAGAAATGTGATGCTGAAGAAAAGAATCAGGGCTCTCTTCTTAAAACATTTAGCATAGAAGAAGCTAGGAGCACAAGATGCCATTTCAATACAATTAAGACGTTCACTTTTTTAATTATAGGTTTAAAATAGTATTTTTTACCTATTACATACAGGAAGATTACGCGTTGTTGCCCACATGCAGAAACAAGCAAAAGCAGAGTTTAACTGTTTCTCTCTATAGTGTTGTATTACCTCTGGCTCCAGTGGGTCCTGCTGGCTCCTGTGGCCTGAGCAGGGCCAGACTCTATGAATCAGCATTTTCCTAAGTCTTTTTCCCCATTGTTTTTTTAAGATGGAAGGGGGTGGAGGAGAGAGGGACATAGGGAGTGAGAGAAGCTCAAGGCAGAACAGACTGCGACAAAAACTGAAAAAAAAATGTGGAGCCTTGAGGACAGGGAAGCAAACTGGTGTAGGATAAAGGTAGCCAAGCAGCAGAGCTGCAGAGGGCAGGAGCAGAGCATGGAGGGCAGCGTTCCTCCTGGAATCCGCCAGTGGCCACACTCCTGCCTGGAGGATGCAGGCACCTCACAAAGCCTCACTATTTACTGCTGCTTAGTCAGAATTGCTTCAAGTTTAAAATTGAGAAAACATTCATGTGTGGGTCTATCTAAAGTTAGTGCATCAGCTTTTACATCTAGCTACGCAGAGGGATCCCAGGAGCCAGTGAGGGCCATGCCTGTGCCTCTGGCATCCAGCAGCTGCCACCTGGCGAGGGGGCCGGGGTCTCCCCAAAGCACAGTAGGCAAAGCCCCCCAGCATTCTGGGGAGGGGCAGGGGCAGATGTTTTAGTGCCTGCAATTGCCAGAACCAACATTCATGAATGCTGACCCCATCAGGGTACAGAGAATGACATTTATTATGCTGGCAGACACAGTGTGATTCCATGATTAAAATGAACACAGCACAGGGCAGGAATTTGCTAAAGCCCTGAGTGAGCTCACATGCTCCTAACAAGGGCAGTAGCCAAAGAGCTGTCTGTGCCGTGGGGAGGCTGCTGGCCTCAGGTCTTGTCCTACAGCTGCTGGGTTTTAGACACAGCCTTGCAGAGACATTTTTGCTGCCCACAAGTTCTCTATGGTCTTTTCATTTTGTTTAAATTGCAGCATGTTAGTATTTGTACTGAGAAAACCTCTGAACTGACACTAAAAGCACATGGTATCATGTTAACATGTATAAATTAAAATATTAAATCAACACAAAATGCAGCTCAACGTTAAAAAAATAAATATATAAATTAAAATGCAAAATAGACCATTTCCCTAGAAACTCCATTTTAGTGCTAGGAGCAGGTTTCTAAGCAGCATTTTCTTCATGTCACCTGCCAGAAAACTAGCACTGAGACTGAAGTGTCCCAGGCAAGTGCAACACAGGGTCCGAGGATGCTCGTGGTGGAGTCAGCCCTCTGCTCAGGGCCAAGCACAGTGGGTGTCACAGCAGATGGAAATACGTTGTGCTGACTGACAGCCACTGCAGCACAGCTTTCCATCTCATTCCTTCTTTCCCAGAGCACAGCCTGCTGCCACACTCTTCTACAGAAAAGCCGTCTTCGTGGTAAGATCCTCTGTCACTTCTCTTGGGCGTGGCAAAGGCTCATGGATGCTGCAGGCTTAGTGCAGCTGAACATCCCAGTCCCTGCTGGGAGAACTGTCTCCCACACTGAAACAGGTCTGTGTGCCAGGGAGGTTCTGGGTGGCTGCTCAGTAGCCACAGTGCACTCGCTGCACACATTCGTGTTTCTGCCAGGGCAGCCAGAGAGCAAGGACAGGTGCCCACAGTGACGTGCAGGTCAAGGAACAAGCTGCAAGGTGGCACCACATGGATGAGCAGCACCTCACCTGCGCCACCAACACACCCCTGCACAGTGTGGGGTAACTGAGAATGACTACACCTGCTAAACTACTTTTTCCCAAGTATTTTGGGAAGGGCCTTCTCTTCCCTCACACAAGTTGTATTCCCCACATCCTGGACACTTGGGGGGACAACAAAAAGCTTGTACACAACTATAAGGCTGGGAGCCTGGCACACAGGCAGTGGGGCGATGGCTGCTGCGTGCAAGCTGGCACAGCACAGCGACACAGCTGGGCACCAGCCTCCCCCAGCATGGCTGTGTGCTCCTCAGCTGCCTCACCACAGCTTTGGTTTAGGGAGAGGGAGGTTTCTTGTACATCCTAGGCCAAGCATGGCCAAGGTTTTTTCAGCCCTTCTGCTGTTGAGGGGGCTGTAGTTGTGCGTTTGGATGCTCTTTTTGTGTAACTGTTTAGGCCACAGCCTCTCTGTGCCTCCTCCTGCCTCACAGCTGGTGTGCAGGAGTCAGTTGGCTGCTGTGTGTGCGAAGCTCAAGTTAGCAGGTTAGGAATGTGCTGAACCCTCCCCTCCCACTGCCATGTCCTTCATCCCAGCTCCCTGAGCACAGCAAACAGGCGCTGCAGGATGCCACAGGTGAGTACCTGGGACAGAAATTTGCCAAGCTGGCTTGTGGTGGTCGTGCCTAGTTGGAGCACAGGTCCCCTTGCTCAGAACACCTCCTGTATGCTCAGGAGGGGAGATGGAAGAATGACCTTCACTGTTACATTACAGTTCAGAGGGTTTTGTCTTCCCTCATCTCCCTGCTGCAATTTCTTTGCAAGTTAGATTTCGCCTCTACCCCCTGCCTCCCATGCACTCTGCATGCAGCAGCAGCACTTCAGCCCTCACCAGAAAGGTGAGGTTCATGGTGCTACAGGTTAAATGGCAAGGCAGCCAGGAAGAGAGTAGAACAAGCTCTCACAGCAGCAAGGCAGCCAAGATAGTCTACAGAAACTGTACAGGCAGCAGAATAAAGCAGGGAAGGTGAAAGTGCCCCTGGCCTGCAACTGCTCTTGCACAAACTCTTAACTCAGTCCAGAAAATTACAGAGCCCTGCACTTCTTCCTCATGGCATCCAGTGCTGAGCAAGATGGATACCCGATTGCCTGACAAATGGGAACCATGTAGAGGACTAAACCAGAGAAGAACTGGACTGTGATTAGA